TGATATTGCCTGGCTAGGCAATCGTTTGACCATCCTGAGGATTCCTTTCTAGGGCCTAGGGGCGTTCGAAAGATGGCTGGCTGATCCCCAGTCGTCACTATGGTTGCTACAAAAATAGTCTGATTTGGATGATTTGGGGGTACCCCCATGGATTGGAAACCTCCATCTATTGCTTCCTTGCAATCCATGTCCATGGAAACACTTCCTCATGTTTGGCACTTTCATGGGGTTTTAGAACGATGTCCCCTACAAATAGATACTTTCCACTATGAGCTTCTATGAAATTTTGGGGGAAAAACAGCATCACTTTCCCCATGTTTCAATACCAGCGCCATGATATTTGGGGTTCACAACCCACCATTTCTGGACAAAGCCCAATGATTTCCTGGGTCCAAAACAAGGGACCCATTCTGCAAAAGCTTGCGCTTCAGCCGCGCGTCACACTCCGTCGTAGGCTATGCGATGTTACCTCGCTGAAGTGTTGGGGGTTCACAATTCTTGGATTCTGAATACATCATCTCCTTGTAGATTGGACGGGTTTAGGAAGATATGGGGATGAATCAAATAAGCCTGTATATACATATATATATATACTAATACAAATATCATACTTTGGAAGGATGAAAGTGAACATCCAGTTACTATACCAGTGATTTTGGTGTTCACCACGGTGCAAGGGCCTTGGAGTACCATCGGATGGCGAGGTGGTGTAAACCAATGAGACCGCTTCAATGTTGGCTGAAGTTGGGTTGTTTAATAAACCACATCACTAGTGGTAAACCCAATAACCATCCTCAAAATCACCATTTTTATCAGTTGAACATTTCAACCATACCCAGATGATAGGAAGATTATTTCATTTACCCTCTGGGTATTTAACATAGCCATGGAAAATGGCCCATTTATAGATGGTTTACCAATGGTTTACCTATTGATGATGATGCTTTTCTATGGCAAACTGTTAGTCATAACCAGATGGTACCATTAGTACTCACTGTATTTTCGCTTGGACAACCAGCCGTAACCAGCAACTAGGGTCACAGCTGGGCAACGAACTGTAGCAGTTCAGTGGATCCAGGCCTCCGATAGGTCGGGGTTTCAATGGATTGGTTGAAGGGAAAATCTTAACCGGAAACCATAGATTGTCCCATTAAATATGGAGTTTTTTCTGTAAATTTTCCATACATTTCTGGTTTATAATGGATGTTCCATGGCTATGTTAACCAGAGGGTAAATCATCCAATTGGTGAACGAATAATCCAGAGGGTAAATCAATTTTCCCATGAAAACTGGTTGGTGGTTGTTGGTTCATATCAATTCATAGAGATACTGGTTGGTGGATAATGCTCAATAATATCCTAGGATCATGAAAAAAAAACCTATGAAAATAACCTTTAATAACCATATTAACTATCCTATACTGGTTGGTGGTTGAGCCTACCCCTCTGAAAAATATGACTTCGTCAGTTGGGATCTTGAAATTCCCAACTGAATGGAAGCATAATCCAAATGTTCCAAACCACCAATCAGGCTACATGATGCTCTCCACGAAGAGGTGCTACAAAAATGGTCATTTGGATTCAAAACAACTGCCCATGATAGATATGAATTTCTCAACTTTGCATAGTTTACATGCTACTAGCGATTGTCAATATTGTTTCATGTTTAGTCGTTCGACTGGATCGACTAGATCCCCATTTTCTTGTTTACGTAGATATAGTACCTCAATCTCCATCGCATAACGGCTACTGCCCGCTTTTCATCTGCGTCTGAATTCCATTCCCATCGGTTTCACTGCCAAATCTCAATCTGGCGTGGCTAAGTGCCTATTCTTCATGACTGATCTCAATCTTTCAAGCCTAAACCGTCCACCTTTGTCTAAATTGTCCCACCGTTTCCCCCCACCAAAAGTTCCCCATGTTTCCCAAGTTGTGTCTGATTTTTTGGCCAGATTATAGTTTTATACTAACCAATATAATGGGGAATATCACAATATATCACGATCCATGAACGGGGAATCACTACCAACTAAACAGTAAACAATAATTTTATGAGTGTTTCTTAGTGATATAGTAGTTATAACTAGTACTTGTCAATAATCTAAATATGTGTTTTGCCGCATCTTCACAGATTTTCCATCATCTTCATCATCTTCATCATCTTCATCTTCATCATCTTCATCGATTTTAAATCATTTCTAGATGGGATTTTCCATTATAAACCTACCATTTTTGTATACCCCCATGACCACGTCTCCAGCACCAGGTGCCTCGCGAGCTCGACCGAAGCGGCTTCTGCGATGGATTCGATGCCACTCTCGTCCACGCCGCGGAGCATGCGCATGAACCCCGCCTGGTTTTGGGTGGATCCAAAATTAGAGGTGGCTCTAGATCTGCACTACCAACAGATGGTTAGTGCATATAACTACTATCCATAGTGGTTGCAATAATTACTGGCTATACTCTATCCAAAATAAGAATTAAGCCATGGATAACATAACTAGTATCAATGGTTCAATGGGGTGAATCATTAATGGATATACTATCCAATGATTATCTAATGATTATCTTGAAATAGATGGAATCTGGACTTTTGAAAACATTCCCATGTTAATTAGATTTTTGAAACGTCTACAGTATATTCTACTCCAGGGTGACCATATATACACAATATGGCTATTGGTCAAAACCCTATCCCCCTAGTGAACATCAAAATAGCTGGTAAATGGATGTTCATCCCCCTAAAAATGGTATTAATAGGTATTGATCCATACCCATATCTCTACACAATGTGTGTATATTCTCTACACGTGTATCGTGAGGAGCTGAAAAAGATTGAATTCGAACTCTCAACGGTGATGTCAAAATAGCTACCCTCTGGTAAACATACAAAAAACTATGGAAAATCACCATTTTTTATGGGAAAATCCACTATTTCTATGGCCATTTTCAATAGCTATGTTAAATTACCAGAGGGTATTTTCAAATGGTCATAGAACTAGTTGATTTACCCATTCATAGCATGGTGATTTTTTCCAGTTTGCCTCCACTTGGGGATGGTCAGCTGAATGGCTGTGGAACTTGGGAGTGATGGTTAGTAATGTTCATAACCAACGTTTTTTTAATGAAATATCCCAGTGATAAAATGTTGTAACATCTTGCAACAATCTGGAAAATGTAAGTCTGTAAGTTTGATAAGGTTGTAACACTGGATCATAGTTTGTTAGAACCCATCTGGATTATGGGTTGACCTTAGACCTTACAAATTGTGTGCAATTAAAAAACCAGGAATCATGGCTAATTTTAGATGCCGTGCTAGGCAGATGATTTACGTCCCATTCTTGTGGGTCATATACCTGCCTCATGCTATGTCAATCTAAAATCTACTGTCCATATGTGTGTATATATATATATGTATATGTATACACACATAACATGTCATAACATTGGCATTTTTGACTACCAGAAGGTACATTCAATAAGCTATCAATGCCTATAAAATGCTCAGGTGAGGTATGGACGGTATGGAACATTTCTTGGGAGATTTCCCAAGCCATGAGGACACCACAGCACACACTCCGATGTGTCTGTGGCTGGGAAATCCCCGCCACAGTCGTCATGGCGTTTCTGAAACAAAAATTTATCACCTGTAACTTGTGATTTCCAGCCATGTTTGAGCTAGCCATAGGGTATCTTGTATCCCCAATTCTGGCGGCATGGTCTTGTTGATGACAATGCGATAAATTGTTGCTTGTCTTACCATTTTTCGGAATTAATCATGCGAATAAAGATCTAAAGTTCTCCTCAAATCCTCAGAGCCTCATGAGTCTGATGAGAGGTTACCCCAAAATGGTTTATCATGATTTTTCCTTTAAGGAATTTTAAGGGTACTGTCCAACTATCCATTTGTTGCCACTCAAAATTCTCTTTGATTCAATCATTTACTTGTCAAACACCCAATTTTTGTTGGTTATACAAATCCTCATTTGGGGGGGTTCGTACATGGGGATACCCCCAATAGCGGGATGGATGATTTAGGGGTACCCCCATGACTTAGGAAACCTCCTTTTGCCTTTAGTTACTTTAGTTCACCGCATTTGACACTTCAGCCCTTCACTTGCCCTTAGGCCTCGCCCCACTCGTTGCCCCAGGAGTTTTGCAGCAACCAATATTTTCCTGGTTGCAACGCTGTGGTTTCACACCCAGGGTTTTCAAATCACAGCCCTTTGTGAATTCACTTCACAACACGGCCTGGAAATCTTTGGCTGCTTCCACACAGGAACATGATCTACACCACTGGGTGTTTTTTCCATAACCTGAGATACTGATCCATGAAAAATGCCAACAGAGAAACGTACGATTTACACAACTGGGCATAGCCACGAGTCACGTCATCGCTACTACGTAACCTGAAACACTATCACGCACACAAAAGGTGATATATAATAAATCACCAATCTAAATTTAACCCATTTGAGGATAGGTAACCAGCCGGGATTTTTAGTGAACACCGCCTTGAATGGACTTAGAATCGGATCACACGTCTGTTTATGGTAGATATTGTTTAGCTATCTGAGTGGTACCTTGATGATACCCTCTGGTAATTTAACATAACTATGGAAAATGGACCATTTATTTCGTGAATTTTCTCATCAAAAATTGTAATGTTCCATAGTTATGTTAAATTACCAGAGGGTATATTGCCGGTGTTTCAATTGTAATCCCATCCCCCATCCATATCAAACCCACACAGCCCGAACGAACGACTGGTGGAATGTGGAGGGATGGGAGTATGGCGCCAAAAACTGATGGGAAAATCCCATTTTTCATAGGGAAATCAACGATTTCCACTGGGCCATTTTCAATAGCTATGTTAAATTACCAGAGGCTAATTGCTGTATCACTATTTTTCCAGTGCGCCAGGTATGAAATCTTGGAACCGGCCCGCGCACATTTTTTTATTTTAGTGAGATGTTCGGGGTTGCTATGTCATAAAACTGCTCAAACCCCGCGAGGTCGAGATCTGCAGCCAAGAACGTTACCAGTTTCCGGACAACAGCGGAAAGATACGGAGCTGAAATTCTTCTCCAATCTCTTCTGGTTGGTGGTTGAGCCACCCCTCTGAAAAATATGATGTTCCAAACCACCAACCAGTCTTTCTAGAATTCTCCCAACATTTTCTGAATTCTCCCAATGGTCTTGTGGGTTTTCCCATCGTTTTCCAAACATTTTCCCAGACTTCCGAAGCCCCCCCACCATCCCCACGACCAGGTCTCGTCCATTCTCGGAACCATAACCCACCAGCAGCACGGCATGGTCCACGGGTTCCCACTCGGCCCGCTGATGCGCAGCGCTGGAGTAGATGCCACCGCTGTAGTACATCAGGTCGCTCCTGATGTGGGATATCATGGATTATTCATGATTATTCTATATATATATATATACCCTCTGGTAATTTAACATAGCTATAGAAAATCACCATTCTTAATACGTAAACCATCTATAAATGGACCATGCTCCATAGCTATGTTAGTTTACCAGAGGGTGTACACGTATATATATATATATATGGAATATAATGGTGATGTAATGGTGATATGATGGTGATGTGTATAATCAATAATATGATATAACGGTGATGTGATGGTGATATGATATAAAGGATTATTGTCTATGTATGTGTATGTACATATATCTGGTATATAATGGTGATATAATGGTAACATATAATCAACAATATGATACATGGGATATAATGGGGATGTAATGGGAAATACTATCGCCAATAAAAAAAGGTATCTGGGAGTGGGTCTGAAAACCCCCTTTTTTATGGTCATTTAAAGGGAAAATGATGATGAACCATCAAAATTAGGGATATCCTATATTCAGACAAAGCCATGTGCTTTGTTGGCGCAGGGCAATGTGGGAGATGGAGAAAAAATAAACGGAGATTTCAATGATTCCTTTTTGAGCAGAGCGTCCACATCTTGGATTTCAAACAGTAGACAAGTGGAGGTTGAAGCTATGAATGATGTCCTCAAAATGGGAAAATCACCAGATTCTGAATGTGGTTTTTGAATCTGCCGCCGTGCCGTCGTGCCATGGGAATTCAAGCAACAACAATGGCGAAGCCAGACCCAAGTAGGACCATCCAGAATCATCGCATGCAGAGGTGTGTCTGAAAGTGGGGCACTTTAATGGGAAATATCAGGATAAAATATGTTTTTACCATTGGATTTGGGGTACCCTACTTTCAAACAACCCCATTCATATAATCCCATCACCCTGATATAAAACACCCCATAAATGGTCCCAATTATGTGGAAATTCCCTACTAAACCATGGATTCGAAGGGGTGTTTAGTATAGGGGGAAGGGATTAATAAGTCCATGCACCTCGTGGTTTTGGCGAGAAATATCTGTGTATCAACTAGCCACTGGAAAAAGGACATTTATGGAGAGGAGTGAGGAACCCCATGAAAAATGACCCAGTTCGCTTACAAAAATGATAATCAACGAATCATGACAGTGAGTCAGTGTTAGGCCCCAATGTCCAGAAGAGAGATTCTGTGCAACACTAACCATGAATTCAGTCTGATTGCCAGACCGATATCTCAGCCACAAAGAAATCAAGTTTGCAGATGATGAAGGGAAAGTTTACGAAAGTGAAACCCCTATATTATATTTGGTGGCAAAAGAAAACAGTGTTTTCAAGTTTCAACTGTACTTCCCTCAGAAGAGTTGTGAAATGTTCATCCCTATTTATATGACTATGGGTCAAAATTAGGTACCCCAAAATTATGGATGGTTGTTCTACTAAACTAGACATTTCCATCTGTGGTCCCATTAATGGTCTTCCATTTTGACCCACATCCATATGTATGGCAAATCCTCCAATGGTACCCTCTGGTAAACTAACGTAGCTATGGAAAATCACCATTATTAATGGGTAAATTCACTATAAATGGCCATTTTCAATAGCTATTTTGACATAACCAGAGGGTAAATCCCCTCGTGTTTCCATCAAAATAACAACTCATTGATTGTTGTTGTGACGTGCTCCCATTAGTTCGATGGCTACCCAACCTGGTTATGTCAACAGATTGCTATTGAAGCCATGGCCATTTTCCTGGATTTAGCCATTGAAAATGGTGGATCTTTCCATAGTTGTTTGTATGTTTACCAGAGGGTAACATCCAAATATTGCCAACATGTTTCTCATTCATTTTGTCAGTAAAATCCCCATCTTGTCCATAATTTACTGGTAATCTCTCCATCTTTTGATCTGGGTAAATTATAATATTTCACTAACCTGAATTAAGGCCATTTGGGGATGATTCCCCTTATTAACCATGATTCCAGTGAGGTCGCAGTGAGGTCGTTATAATTTACCCAGTTTGATGGTTGAAATCCAATTTCTCTTAGAAAAAATCTTACCAACGCGTTGCTTCAGGCCCCACCTTTGTTGGTCGACTCCCGATTTGGTTTCCAGAAAATCATCATGAAAAATCCATGAGGTTCCCATGATGTTCCCATGAAAATCCATGAATAAAACAACATAAAATACCTGGAAATCCCCATTTTTTTATCACCCGAAAATCCCCATCAAATCCGCCAGAAAAATCCCGAAAAAAAAACACGTTTTTTGGGCACCAAGGGTCTGGGGCTCAAAGGACACCACCAGAGGACCATCCTCCACCTAGACCGACCATTTACGTGTCTTGATATGGGTACCATAGCCAGATGTGGATTCGTTGGGATTAATTGGAGTGTATAATATGGGATAGTTGGGATTAGTAGGGATTAGTAGGGATAATAGGGATCATATGATAACGAAATCATAGGGATGAGTTGGGATAATAGTGGATTTAGATGAGATTTGGAGTATTTTTGTATGGGTTTTATGTGGGATTTATCTGGATAGTATGGGATTTATATGGGTTAATGTGCGTTATTAATAGACAACAGCTAGATAATGTGGAATAGTTGGTTAATAACATTATTTAGTTGGTTAATCGATAGTGATAAATGATACCAAATAATATAAGATCATATGGGATATGGGATAATGATCATTAAGAAATAATGATAATATGGATTTCACCAAGAAACATGGTGATATCATAGGGATGATTTGAGGGGATATGGTGTTTGGATGGGGATATAATCAAACATGGAAGATTTAACCGGGATTTAAGTCACTAAGATTAGACAATACCAGTTTTTTGTTTTTGTGGCTATGTCACCATACGCAGTTCGAATAAGTCGGATTTCACCAACACAAAAAGAGGGCTAAAATTAATGGCTAGATCAAGAGATACTGTAAATGAATCAATGTTCATCCATGGCTTCCCTCCCAAAGTATCCATGTATAGATGATGATCGCGAACTAAACCTCCATGTATCGATTGGGGATTTCCCAGCGGCCGATGTTTTTTCATACTGTAGCCCCTTCGGGTGATGAGTTGGAGCGACCCTTGCGGGTCATGTCCTAAGATCAGGTGTCCCTCCTTGAAGGTTGGCATATTTCAACTGAGGATTTAGATAGCATCACAAAAAACCTAGGATATTTTTCCATGGTGAATCATTGTGAATCCATTATTATAGCCATTATGAAACAAATACCACAGTGATTATAAAAATAAAAAGTTTATTGTTCATGAAATATCATTTTAAAAAAAAATATGAAATAATCCACGTTTTATTTTTTATCAATAAATCCCCATGGAAAATCATTGTAATGATTCATTGATTCACCATGGAAAATATCCATGGAAATCGCTTCCCCTAATGTTGAATACATCCACATAAAGGAATATATCTATTTGAAGGGGTTCTGTTCATGTTAAGGGGAAGAGATTAGATGATATTAGATGTCTTAATGTGTATTCACACTACCTCAAGCACGAAGTATTGCCCACAATCTGGCCGCTGCTCAAGTACTGCTCCATAGCTTATAACCAGTTTGTTGACTCAATTGATGACCTAGCGTCTTTCAACAAAAAGCGACCAGTCTTGTGCTTCTGTTGCATGTCGCAATACACCGGGTCCTTTTACCGTGGAAGTCAGGATGGAAAAACCTGTCGGTTTACATGGAAGTCGTTTACGTCCAATTCCTGGGGAAAAAGTGAAACTGGGCTACCGGGCCAGCCAATGCAGAAAAACTGACCGTGAATCTCTTACATGGAAGTAGCTCATCAGATATGTCAGTAACATATTCATCATGGAAGTGTGAAAACTGAGACTAAAAACCCTTACGTGGAAGTAACTTGAGGGTCCAGACATCAGGCTGGCAACTTCTATGTTAACATGTTCTCCCCTCATGTTGAATACATCCTTCCAGGGCGATCCCTAAAACCCCCAGACTGACCGCCACATCATTTTTTTTCTTCTTTGCATCTATCTTCTCACCCCTGTCATGTCCGAGCGATTGAGGATGCAACCTTTCGAAATCAATGGTGCCAAATTGGTGCTCGCTAACATGGCACTTCCCACATCCTACTTCAAGTAGCAAATTTCTATGTAAGTTATCCGTTCCAATCGTTGGTTGTTAAAAAATGGAGGCATTCCCAGCTTTATCTTGAAAAATTCAAAATTTCTACGTTAATCAACAAATGCCCAGGATTCCCAGGGAACCCGCGGCAAAAAGAACTAGCCCCCCCAAAAAAAAAGGGCTCAGATCCAAAGAACACAAATTTGCAGTTTACCCCCCCATTGCAACTAACATGGAAGTAAACCTCCGAATTGTCACTTTAGTTAACGTGGAAGATTTTTTTTTTGCACTACGGTAAAAGGAGGACCGAGCGCTCGCTAACATGGCACTGCCCACATCCTACTTCAAGTAGCAAATTTCTATGCAAGTTATCCGTTCCAATCGTTGGTTGTTAAAAAATGGAGGCATTCCCAGCTTTATCTTGAAAAATTCAAAATTTCTACGTTGATCAACAAATGCCCAGGATTCCCAGGGAACCCGCGGCAAAAAGAACTAGCCAAAAAAAAAAGGGCTCAGATCCAAAGAACACAAATTTGCAGTTTACCCCCCCCCATTGCAACTAACATGGAAGTAAACCTCCGAATTGTCACTTTAGTTAACGTGGAAGATTTTTTTTTTGCACTACGGTAAAAAAAAGGAGGACCGAGCGCTCGCTAACATGGCACTGCCCACATCCTACTTCAAGTAGCAAATTTCTATGTAAGTTATCCGTTCCAATCGTTGGTTGTTAAAAAATGGAGGCATTCCCAGCTTTATCTTGAAAAATTCAAAATTTATCAAAATTTCTACGTTAATCAACAAATGCCCAGGATTCCTGGGGAACTCGTGGCAAAAAGAACTAGCCCCCCCAAAAAAAAGGGCTCAGATCCAAAGAACACAAATTTGCAGTTTACCCCCCCCATTGCAACTAACATGGAAGTAAACCTCCGAATTGTCACTTTAGTTAACGTGGAATTTAAAAAAATATATATATTTTTTGCGCTACGGTAAAAGGAGGGGGAGTACCCATGGTTTGACACGCATATCATGGCTAAATGATCTTTAAAAAAACCCTAGATACCCTTAAAAACAAATCATTCACTGCTTTCGCTACTTTCGGTTAATAGGTATCCAAATACATGACTTATCTTAATCTCCAATAACCCCCAAATACATTAAGTACTCAACAGAGGTATTATTGTAATGGCTCATATTAAGTAGGTTGTATCTCTCATTAATTATATCCCATTAAATCACCACTAATTCCCCCCAATCCCATTAAATCCTCATTAATGCCCGTTAAATCACCACTAAATCACCACTAAGTCCCATTAAATCCCATTAAATCACCACTAATTCCTGCTAAATCCAATTAAATCCTCATTAAATTACCACTAAATCACCACTAAGTCCCATTAAATCACCTCTGATTCCCCCTAAATCTCATTAAATCCTCATTAAATCACCATTAAATCACCACTAACTCCCACTAAATCGCCATTCAAAATCGCCATTCAACCACCACTCATTGGGCTATTCCAATGGTCTCCCCATCCTCCGTTGCCGCCGCCCAAGTCCCACCAGTTCTCGTTTCATCTCCTCTTCACTGGCGGCACCGTAGTAGCCGCCCACGTAGTGATGATCGACCTTAAGAAAACGGCCGGAACCGGACTCTGATTTCATGGCCGGTTTTAAAAAACGGGCGGCTTTTGATAGGACTTCACCAACCAAAAATGGTGGTTTTATTGGATTTGATTGGGTTTATTGATGGTTTAATGGTGGTTTGACCAACCAGAATGGTGACTTAACTATAAAAAAGGGGAAGGCCTCTTCATGAAAGGGGGGTTCTTGGGGGATCCCCAGTCGTCACCATAGTTGTTTCAATACGAAGCTATGGTAGAATGACTTGGATGATTTGGGGGTAACCCGATGGATTTCAAACCTCCATATGGGCTTTATAACTATCCAATCAGTATGATATTCCCATGATATTCCCCATGATATCCAATCCAATATTCCATACATATCCCAGAGACATCAGCTTAACTATGATTAACCATCAGTAGGGATGTACAACGAACTTGATATGGTATGTATCACCAATGAATATGGCATTCAACCAAACAATATATGGATATGTATTGAGAATATAAATCCGGGAAAATTATATCATCAACAACGTAGCATATTTGATATTTAACTTATGTTCAGGTTTTTGGGTTCCTTAATTTTATCCACACTTGAAGCAGCAATTTCCAGCGTGCTTCAGCCAGGTTTGCAGTGTGAAGCTCCAAATGCCAAAAAAAAATGGGAGGCCTCCCATTAAACCATTAAACCATTAAACCATTAAACCATTAAACCATTAAACCCATCATCAAACCACCATTAAACCATTAAACCATCAGCCTGAGCTTAAGAAAAATGGGAGGGTGAAGCTCCAAACCTGACCTAACTCTTGCCAGTTCCACGGTGGGATGAATCCCCCAAGGCTTGCGGATTTCACCGATCATGGGCCCCTTTTGGGCTGTGGCTTGGCCTTTCCTAAACGGTGGAACTGGGGATAATCACACAGGTGGAGTGACCCTGGGACCCCCTCTTGTTGGTTCAAGCCTCATGTTTTTTGTTGCTTCAACCGCAACAAAAGGAGTCTTAAAGCCTCATTTGTGTCAGTTCAACCCCCATGTTTTCTTGATTAACGTCCTATTGTTCTTGCTTTAAAGCCTCATTTTTCCTTAGCAAAACAGTTCACCTGCTTTGTTCAATCCTCATAGCTTTGTCAACCCCAACCCACCTAGACCACTGCCAGGTGACAGCCTTCCAAGTCTGGGAAAGGCTGGAGACGGAGCACTTCAGCTCACAGGAATTCTTCAGCCCCTCCGTTGAACTCCGTTGACCACTTCACCAAAAGGGGGCGTCTTGAGATATGTTAAGTATTCAAAATCAGGATATCCCGTCTTTGTTGGTGAAACCCCCATGTTCTCCTTATGCTGGTTAGTTGAAAGTTGAAAGCCCAATGGTAATCAGTTTGGTTGGTTAAACACGCATTTTGCAATGGGTTGATTCTATAAAATCATGATTTCACTGTTTATGTGTATATATATATTCCCATGTTGGTGGCTTAGTTGAAATCAATTGTTCATCATTTTTATTGGTTAAATCATTTGAAACCCTCCACTATACCCCAGTTTTGTTGCTGATATTTCTTGGTTAAAACTCCCAGCTTTATTGATTGAAACCTATCTTTCTTGCTTCAACTCCAATATTTTTTGGGTTGAACAAGTCGAACCCCTGTTTGTCTTGCTTAAATCCGGAGTTTTCTTGGTTCTACTCCCCATGTTTTCCAGGGTTTTTTGGGTACCCCAACGGTCCCCGTCCTGTCCCAAAAAGGTCACGGTCACGTCTCCGACCTGTGGGTCCTCGTCGCTGCAATTCTTCGGCACCAGCCCCACGTCCGAGGCCCAGCGCGCCGCGAGAAAGGCATAGCCGCCCTCGCAGCCCTGGCTAGCTGCGATGTGGCGGAAGGTGAAGGGGGACATCGGATATCATGGGATAGTAGCTGGTATAATATGCCTACCCACGGTTGGAATAATAGTAATACAATACCAACTACAATAGTAATGGCGATATTATGTGGGGAAAATAAAATCTGGAAAATGGGGATAGATCTGAAAAAAACAAGATGCAGCCCACGAAACCAAATGCAGTCACGTAAACCATCTTGTCAAACAAGTTATTTGAAAAGTCCTGTGGATTTTTCCCCTGTAACTGTACCAGTGCACTGTAGATACTGTGGCATGTGGAAGGGGGTGGGGTGCAAGGTGTGGAGTGTGAAGACAGTGGGGTGTTGAGTGGGGAATGTAGTGTGTAGTGTGAAGTGGGGATTGTGGAGTGTGGAGTGTGGAGTGGAAAGTGCAAAGAGTGGGCTGGAAAGTGTGGAGTGTGGAGTGTAAAATGTAAAGTGTGAAGTGTGGAGTGCAGTGTGTGGAGTGTAAAGTGTAAAGTGTGGAGTGCAAAGTGTAAAGTGTGAGTGTAAAGTGTCATGTGTGGAGTGTAAAGTGTGGAGTGTAGAGTGTAGAGTGTGGAGTCTGGTGTGTAAGGCGTGGAGTCTAAAGTGCAAAGTAGTGGAAAGTGGAAAGTGTGGAGTGTAGAGTGTGGAGAGTAAAATGTAGAGTGTGGAGTGTAAAGTGTAGAGTGCAAGGGTGTGGAGTGTGGAGTCTCCAGTGTAGAGTAAAGTGTAAAGTATAAAGTGTGGGGTGTTTAGTGTGAAGTTTGGGGTGTAAAATGTAAAGTGTGGAGTGTAAAGTGTAAAGTGCGGAGTGCGAAGTGTGGAGTGTAAAGTGTGTAGTGTGAAAGGTAAAGTGTAAAGTGTGGAGTGTGGAATGTAAAGTGTCATGTGTGGAGTGAAAAGTGTGGAGCGTAGAGTGTGAAGTGTAGAGTGTGGAGTGTAAAGTGTGGAGTGTGGAGTGTAAAGTGTGGAGTGTGGAGTGTAAAGTGTAAAGTGCGGAGTGTGGAGTGTAAAGTGTCATGTGTGGAGTGAAAAGTGTGGAGCGTAGAGTGTGAAGTCTAGAGTGTGGAGTGCAAAGTGTGGAGTGTGGAGTGTAAAGTGTGGAGTGTGGAGTGTAAAGTGTAAAGTGTGGAGTGTGGAGTGTAGAGTAAAGTGTGAGGTGTGAAGTGTAGAGTGTAAAGTGTAAAGCGTGGAGTGTAGAGTGTGGAGAGTAAAGTGCAGAGTGTAAAGTGTGAAGTGTGAAGTGTGGATTGGGGGGTGTAAAGTGTGGAGTGTAAAGTGTGGAGTGTGGAGTGTAAAATGTAAAGTTTAAAGTGTGAAGTGGAAAGTGTGGAGTGTAAAGTGTAGAATGTGGAATGCGGAGCGTAAAGTGTAAAGTGTAAAGTGTAGAGTGTAGAGTGTAAGTGTAAATTGTAGAGTGTAGAGTGTAAAGTGTAAAGTGCAAAGTCTGGAGTGTGGAGTGTAAAGTGTAAAGTGTAATGTGTACTGTGTGGAGTGTGGAGTGTGGAGTGTAAAGTGTAAAGTGCAGAGTTTACAGTGCACAGTGTAGATTGCCATGCAAAATGCAAAATGACGATGGAGGTTTCCAAAGTGCCACGCCTGCCACGAAAAATGCAACTCATCTTCTGAAAACGACGCAAAAATATTGCGCCGGCCACACAAAATGACTTTCGACACGTTTGCAGACACATGACAATGTCACGAAGTGCCACGCCTGCCACGCAAAACCACATTACAACTTGCTTTGACACCGTGAAACAGGGTAGGTTTTGCAGCTTCCCACATAGACACGGCGAGGCCAAAGGAAAACCCGAGACTCGAGACGAGACACATTGGAGCATCAAAACGAGCATTTCGTGTGAGACCTCCTCCAATTTTGACACTTTGTAGCCTCACAATCGACGTTTTCCTACGAGTTTTCTTAGGAACCTCTAAATTTGCTGCCTCAAAATCGATGTTTCGTGCGCGGCATCCGTCAATTTTCATCACATCTCACAAAATGCCACGCCCGCCACGCAATTTGCACCTTGTCGCCACTTGACGCAGCCCTGACATTGCGATTCGCAAAAAGCACGCAACATGACACGTCTAAAGTGCTGCGCCTGCCACGCGAACTGACGATGGAGGTCGCCAAAGTGCTGCGCCTGCCACGAAAACTGGAACGCATCTTCTGAAAACGACGCAAAAGTATTGCGCCTGCCACACAAAACGATTTTCGACACGTTATGAAACATGCTGGAATGTCACAAAGTGCCATGCCTGCCACGCGAAACGAGGCTAGTGCGACCACTGTTGCAGAACTCGCCATAGGCACGGCCATGCGGGCCTCACGCGGACGGTTGCGGACGGTTGCGGACGGTCGCGACTGTAAACGCAACGTCGAGCGAACACACCTCAACCACCAAACCCCCCGAGTGAAACGGGGGCACGCATGCAGGAAAAATGTAATCATTACATGTTCGTTGAATTAATAGCAAGTCACTAAGCTGAAAATAGTAAAGGCCCTCTATCTGGCTGAATAGTTATTAGTTATCGCAGTTCACTAACCAGTTTAGTCAATCACAACAAAACAGCAACACTATTATATTAATTCACTAACCTGAAAATAGCTTTAAAACATTGACCATTGGGGGATGATTCCCGTATACATTCATCATCATTCCATCAACAAAACTATCTATCAATAATGAGGTGAACTCAACAATGAAATCTCACCATCCTGTAGATAGTACATAGTGTTGAGATAATCTAACATGTTTTTACAGTAGACAGTAGAGATATAATATGTATATATATATATACATATACATACATATATACATATATACATACAATGTTGGATTTATAATGACCAATTAGCTGCACACATTCTTTGTACTGAGGTAAACCCAACAATAATCCCCAAGTGGGCTAGAACAGGGGTAGAACCACAGCAAAATCACATCCATAGGTTGGGTCTGAGTCAAAGCCTTAGAATTATGGCCACATAGACTTGGTAAACCATGCCCATAGTACCCTCTGGTAAACATACAAAAAGCTATTGAAAATGGCCATTTATAGTGGGTAAAGTGATTTTCCATAGTTATGTTAGTTTACCAGAGGGTAATGTGGGATCATGTAAAGTGACCCCCTACTTCATATGACCGGTTACTGGGATTCGATGGCCACAGTGGCCACATCATACTAAAATGATTTTTGTTTGGATTTGGCAGAGTTGTAAGTATGTTCAACAAAAAGGGCGAAGACGCAACACCACATGCACAGAAACTCGGTTTTCAATACAGGATGGCCCCCCCAGTTGTAAGTTGGTTTAAGTTTATAACCCCATCTACAGTAAATATAGTTATAAGATGTTATAAGTATCATACACCAACTTGTTATTATAGTTATAACATGTTGTAACCAACTTAGCTAACGAACTGGGGCCCCATCCTGTAAGTTTTCCGAAGCAATTTCCGAAGGAATCTGAAGAGAATCTCATGGGATGAATGGCCAACAAGAAGTATTGGGTTTCACCAACAAAAGAACGGCTTTGACAAGCCAGATTACGGTATGTAACTTGCATATAACTAAGGAAGTTGAGAAGCAATCTTCCGAGTTACGGATAAATAGAATTGTGAGACTTTACATCTGATGAAGGGTGGTGTGAGACGGTGGTGTGAGACTTTACATCACATAACAGTTGATGAAAGGTGGTGTGAGGGTGGTGTGAGACTTTACATGTGGATGTAAATCGCATCGAAATGGCTGCATGGATGGGTACGTGTTGCTGCAAAACGCATTGTAATGGCTGCATGACTGTTACATGCGGTTTGTTTCAGGGAGGAAGCCGGAGCACGAAACCTTGTGTTTTTCCGTGTAAAAGTGGCTCCAGGCGGCGATTGGTTGGGTACCTCCTTCCTAAATCCTCTAAGAAAAGTATCTCAAAACCTCCATCCAACCACGCAACGTTTGGCCTGGTTGTACTCTGAGCAGAAGAGGGGAAAGTTGAAGGAAAAGCCTGCGCCAGGGCTGAACGGCTGACAGCGCGCCTGAGCTTCCTGAAGAATATGAAGCAAATTTGGAATGACCATACCAAAAAGGAACGAAAAGAATAGCAAGTCCACCAATTCTGGACGGATGATGCATGATTTGTCCACCAAAAATTGGGTCAAATCCCAGATCCAGAGAGTCCCCATAGACTTGCCATAGGAGGCTGCGGCCTAGAAATTTCCCAGCTCGGAGTAAAACCAGGAGTTGACCCACCAATAAAGGACAGCTTCCTCCATTCTCCCAGGATTGGAAAATCTTCAGGATACACCGATTTCTTCGGGGAAAAGGATGGTTTCCCCTAAAATCTGCCGCATTTTTTCATGCTGAACATCGCCTTTTGGCAGTAGAAACTCTAGCTGGAAGGATGCTACCACCAAAGTAAGCACAGCAAATGGCCGATCTTGGATACCCTCTGGTAAACGTTTACAGTTTGCGAGCTGGAAAATCACCATTTTCTAATAGGTAAATCATGGTAAATCAACTATAGATTGCCATTTTCCAGTTCGCAAATTGTTCAATTGCCAGAGGGTACCCTCTCAAAACATAGTGTGTTTGTGTAAGCTGGTTTGGTTAGTAAGCTTAGTATATCCCCATCAATCCATAGCAAATGACCATGGAGATTGTCTCAACACCTCAGACCTCAGAGTCGGGAGTGGCACCTTCAAAGCCTGGGTCTTGGTACTTGATGCGATATCTGGCAGCCAACATGTGCGTGGTTGCCACCTTGGAGGCTCAACATGGGGCTTTTTCCATGGAATTTTGCCCAAAAACCACCACCCTGAAATGACAAGAGTTAAACCCATTCGTATTAGCTGCCCGTTTTGTGAGGTGGGGCTCCCCCCAGTTCTCCATCTTTTTCTGGTGATTTTCTGTGAAACCATCCAGCTATTGGGGGGTTCGGTGGCTTTGAACGCATCACCAGGGGTGCTCCCAAGATACCATGAGAAAAATATTGGCGAAAACGTTGTAAACACAAAATTGTGCTTGAATGACCACGATACATTATGATTGGTATATTGGTACTATCATTATATATGGGGGTTTCCTAAGTCATAGGGCTACCCCCAGTCATCATCCATTTATTGATGGATTTTCCCTGAACAAAACCATCCAGCTATTGGCATTTTGGGTATCCCCATGTATGAAAACCCCCATGTCAATATCATGTCACAAAATAGCTTGGGTGAACTATACATATATATATATAACTATATTATATATATAACTATATATAACTATATATAAATTTATACATATAACTATACTTTTATTCACTATACTTTTATATAACTATATATATAACTATATATATAACTATATATATATAACTATATATTATATATACATATAACTATATATATGTAACTATATACATATAATATATATATATATATAATATAACTATATAACTATATATATAACTATATATATAACTATATATATAACTATATATATAACTATATATATATAACTATATATAAAACTATATATATAACTATATATATAACTATATATATATAACTATATATAAAACTATATATATCACTATACATATAGAGTTATATATATATAACTATATATATATATAACTATATATACAACTATATATATAACTATATATATATAACTATATATATAACTATATATATAACTATATATATAACTATATATACATAACTATATGTATAACTATATATATATAACTATATATATAACTATATATATATAACTATATATATAACTATATATATATAACTATATATATAACTATATATATAACTATATATGTAACTATATATATAACTATGTATACATAACTATATATATTATAACTATATATATAACTATATATATAACTATATATATAACTACATATATATAACTATATATATAATTATATATATAACTATACACATATATAACTGTATATATATAACTATATATATATAACTATATATATAACAATATATATAACTATATATATGACTATATATATAACTATATATATAACTATATATATAACTATATATATAACTATATATATAACTATTTATTTGACTATTTATATGACTATATATATATACATAACTATATAACTATATATATAAGTATATATATAACTATATATATATAACTATATATATAACTATATATATAACTATATATATAACTATATATATAACTATATATATAACTATATATATAACTATATATATATAACTATATATATATAATTATATATATAGCTACATATATATAACTATATATATATAACTATACAACTATATATATATTCACTATATATATATTAACTATACATATAACTAGATATATAACTAGATATATAACTATATATATAACTATATATACATATAACTATATATATAGTTATATATATAACTATATATATACATAACTCTATATATATAACTATATATATAGTTATATATATAACTATATATATAACTATATATAAAACTGTTTATATATAACTATATATATATAACTATATATATCTATATATATAACTATATATATAACTATATATATAACTATACTTTATATATAACTATATAATAAAACTATATATATATATCTATATATATATAACTATATATATAACTATATATATAACTATATATATATAACTATATATATAACTATATATATAACTATATATATAACTATATATATAACTATATATGTAACTATATATATAACTATGTATACATAACTATATATATTATAACTATATATATAACTATATATACTATAACTATATATATAACTACATATATATAACTATGTATATAATTATATATATAACTATACACATATATAACTGTATATATATATAACTATATATATAACTATATATATAACTATATATATATAACTATATATATCTATATACTACATATATTAACTATATACATAACTATATATATATACGTATATACATTTAAATTCTCTTAGTACTAAAACATCCTAAAACTCCGCAAAACACCCACCTTCCTGTGACGCCGCCCAAAAGACCATCCTCAAAGCCGAGGGGCCATGTAGCAGGAGCCACAGGTGCCCTGATCGATCACCGCATCCAAATAGTTCCTCCGATCTTTGTCCGTCCGAGGTTGGATGGCAAAGCCCAGGGATTACGATCCATTCCTAACATCATGGGTATATAATTGTATATATAGAGATTGATGACCACTAATGATTCCCAACTTCACCCCTATGAATGGGATCAAAATGGTATAAAGCATCTACCAATTGGTGCAGGATTTCGCAACCATCCACCATATGTTTATAGGTGTGTACTTGGGGCTTGCTTTACAGAGTGGGATGTCCAGCGTTTTTTGAAGTTGGGATGTAAATCCTTAGTGGCCTCTAGTTCGAGTGTCATGAGTCATTTGATGTATGTAGATTCATGCTACCCTCTGGTAAACATACAAAAAGCTATTGAAAATGGCCATTTATAGTGGATTTTCCCATTAAGAATGGTGATTTTCAATAGCTATGTTAAATTACCAGAGGGTAGTACAAGGTGAGGCCCCCAGTTCCAAGTTGGTTTAGTTTCACCCATGAACTGCAGTTGTGGCTTCAATAAACCCTAGTTAACCAACTTATGCACGTCGACTTAGCTATTTAGGGGGCCTCATCTGGTATCGACTGAGCTGGATTCTGAAATTGAAGCTTCGCCAGACTGACAGATGGCTATTGGTCAAAATGATCAAATCCCCAAAAATTGGATGGTTGAACTGAAAAACCATATAGTTATAGTTATAGTAATCATATATATATATAACTATATATTATACAGCTATCAATTCTGTTGGTACTGGAATTTCGACAACCAAAATCTGTTGATGAGGATCAATGAGTGGAACCACAAGATCTGGACCCCAACGTGTACCTGCAAAGTCACCGGACAAGGCAAGGCGAAAAATTTCTGCGTTTTCAAAACGCCCACTCGAAGTTGATCAAAGTTCATCAATTCTGCTTGTTTCTTAAAATATGTAAATCATGATATGGTACAATAAATCATGATAAATCACCTTTCTTCGCTGATTAAAACTGCATAACAGATATTAACAAATATATCACTGAATCCCGACACCATCTCGGCACCTTCCAGAGACATTCCGCCAATCCCACTGCGTAGGGAGGGGCCTGGCCGGCGCTGGAATCTCACTGGCGTTTCTTAAATGTTCAGGGTCATGAATGAAAAGACATGTTTTTTTTAATAAAAAATCACCATTTCTAGATGATCTTCCAAAAAAATGGGGGTTGTTCCATTGCTGTTACCCTCTGGTAATTTAACATAGCTATTGAAAATGGCAATTTATTGTTGATTTTCCCATTAAAAATGGTGATTTTCCATAGTTATGTTAGTTTACCAGAGGGTACCAAATGATTCAAACCACGTTGATCCCAAGCAGAACCCGCCTCCGTCCCTTGACCGCCTTGCTCTTGGCTCGTGCGCGCTGAAGGAAGCTGAGAGGATTGGATCCGAAGTAGGGATCCGCCTACGCCCGAGGACACGGTGCAAAAAAGGATGTTGGTGAAGTTTCTGGTAAATCTACCTGTTGAAATTATGGTAGATGTATGTCATATGAGTCATATAATATATATATATATACATACACATACATACATACATTACATTACATTACATTACATTACATTACATTACATTACATTACATTCATTACATTACATTACATTACATTACATTACATACATACATACATACATACATACATATATATATATACATATATATATATACATATATACATATATCTACATATGTGTATATATACATCTACATGTATAGCTGTAGAATGTGGATTCTAAACCAGCTCATCATATCTTGTTACCTACCCCTGTGGCTCAAAATTCGATCGCCCAGTGAAGATGCTACGAAATCAGTTGCCATTTCTGATCCATACCGGATGGTGCACCCCAGTTATAAGTTGGTTTATAAACCCCATTAACTAGTTCGTTATATCTACCATAAACCATAGAATTCAGCCACGTATAAGGCAACTGAACGCTATCGACTGGGGGCCCCATCCTGTACCCAAAAAAATATGGAACCCAACAGTACTATACCAAAAACAGCTCAAAGACAGTAGCTTCTTCCTCCATGCTGAAGGAAAATGTACACCGCACAACCCATATTTCATGTAAATAACCATGGGTTCCTGTAGATTTTCCCCTAACCCTGTTATTTCATGTAAATAACCATAAGTTCCTGTAGAATTAAAGAATTGTAGTTCCTGTAGATGTTCCTTTCTGAAAGTTGAGATTTTCTGAATTGCAATTCACAAAATCATTCAAGGGACCCTGGGACCCTTTAGTGAGGGCGGCTCAACCGCTAACCACATGGGGAAAAATGGGGGATTCAACGTATCAACATCACCTGGAATCTTCCAAACTGCCCCGGAAGATGCCAGCAATGTGGGATGCCAGCAATGGATGTCCGCCTCGATTTGAACATCGACATCAAGCTTCATGTAGATATGATCATTCAGAACTCACCATTGTTGACCCAATGTGAAAAAACCATAGAATCCAATGACATAGCCCATTTTGGGATGTGTGAACTTGGATATGCTTCAAGTAAGAAAGTGCCAAAAATCATCGATTCAGCTTAAATCCAAGAATGTGGGATATCTCTATATGCGCATGAAATAGGATATATTCTGGATTGTAAATAATACATCCAGGATTGATGTGTATATATATATATATATGTGTCATTATATATATATGTCATTATATATATAATTATATACATCTATGTATCATTATATATATATCCATTGATATAATATATATATATACAAATAATAATAATCATATCTAAAGATAACCATCATCCACAAGCCGAAACCCAGAAACCGGTGTCACCTCCCGGGATCCTCCCGGCCTCCCGACTCTTGGCGCGCGTGAAGCGCCGGAAGATGCCGGCCATGCCGTTCAGCTCCCGCAGCGTCTTGTTGACGAAGCGCTCGTAGACCCTCGCCTCGCAGAGCGGGATTTCAACCATGGAAAAACGATGATAGGAAGAATGGGGAGATCATAGAGATTTGAAGGGGATGTAGTTATATGGGTATGAGTCAAAACCTTGTACCCCTGGTGAACCCCAAAATAGCTGGTAAATGGATGTTCATCCCCCTAAAAATGGTATTAATAGGTATTGATCCGTACCCATATCATGTCACATCATGGAATAATCTCAATACATGAATAGATATAAAATTGATATAAGAAATATAGGATACATGTGATAAAAACATGGGGAGATGGTTTAAAAGACAAAAACATCCGTTATCTACACATTGCTTGTGCAAACGAACATTCAAAGTACTAGCTCTTCAAATTCTACAAACAGAAAAAAGCATCAAGAAGAGCTAGATAAGTCTGTATCTGTGTAAATGTAGATATTCAAAAAAAAAAGCAAAGATAGTTCTTCTTTCTGCGTTGTTTAAACAATGTAGAGGCTCCATTCCAGCCCCACCAATGGCCTTCCACAGGTCTTGTATCAGATTCCTCAGCATCAGCCATTTGGGACTTCAACCACTGCAGCAGTGGGATTCCAAGGTCAACATGGATCTAAGAATCTACCCGGCCTGGTAATGACTAACATAACTGATGGGAAAATCACCATGCTATGAATGGGAAAATCCACTATAACTGGCCATGTTCAATAGCTATTTTGACATAACCAGAGGGTCATCCTGAGGACAAGACCATCAGATTTGGCAGTGTGTCAAAACCTTGTACCCCTGTAGTTCACATCAAAATAGCTGGGTATAGCTGGGTTAAAATGGATGTTCATCCCACTAAAAATGGTATTTTCATAGGTATTGATCCATACCCATTTGACCATCAAAACTGGGGTTGAGCCATCAAACAATTGGACTTCAGCAGAAACTCACTGGATATGTCACGGTCAAAAAATGCTGGGGCATCGCGGCATCGTCTCCCCCCCAACCCATCCATTCCATAAAACAATTGAAAATTGTGAAGTGAATGGGAATTTACGGTGCTCAATGTGGATTTGATGTGGGATCAATGGGAGTCCAGTATTTTAAGTAGCAACCAATGGGATTTATGGGATTCTCATCCAAAAATGCTGGGTTTTACCCAGCAAACGATGAAATTTTCTTGTGGAGGTTTAACTGGTAACGGAGATTCCAAAAATCACCGGTCATCAACGGAGATTTCACTGAGTCACTGGTCATTCCCTAGAGATTACACCATTTTGCGAGTGAAAATTCGAGTGACACAGCTCTCCCCAGCCAAGCATCACCGTGGCCACAAAGGACCATTGCTCTTCTGCCGGCAACGCGGGAGTCGCTGCCAGCTGTGAGGACGGCACCGGCACTGGCGCCTGATGTGGCGAGTAGCGTTGAACCCAGGATTTTAACCCACCGAAATAGAGAATTAACCTGCTAATATGGGGATTTGATAAGGAGACACCCAACTTGGTATGACATGGGGGGTGACGAGGCTAATGGTTCATGGGATTTATACGGTAACTAGGTCAACTAGATTAATTATGGTTAACTATGGTTCATGGTCTATTTACTGTAAATTGATATAAAACTTGGGTTTCAATGGATTTCAGCAAACCCATCTAGTTGGATGGGTGAAAACAAACCAAGAAACATGTAAAAAAGGGGACCCCTCCCCTTCCTGCATCATCTTTTTCGGCGCATTGGCAATACATGGGGGGTTTACATGGTTTCTCTACATTTGACTTTGTCCAAACCCCGATTTATGGCCATCAAATAGTGGGTAAAATGAGGTTTTCAAACTGAACCACTGGATTTGGGGATTTGGGGATTTGGGGGAGGGTGTGGGGATGGGGAAAGGGCTGGTTGTGATGTTGATCCGCCACTCTGGTATAGCTTTGATCCGCAGACGTAACCACCAACAGACATGGGGATAGTGAAGGTCATGATGCCAATACCAAAAGAGATCCTATTGGTGACCTAAAATGTGGGAATAAAGCAAGATTTGACCAAGTAGCATCTGGTTATTTAACATAGCCATGGAAAATCACCATGTGTAATAGGTAAACCATCTATAAATGGGCCATTTTTTCATGGCTATGTGAATTTACCAGAGGGTAGCAAGAACACGGGGATGTTGTTTGAACCTGAATGGATGTGATGAAACAGAAATGTTGGTCTATAGGCTATTACATGATTTGACCAAGAACATGAGGGGGAATTTACTGCCACCATTGAATACGACCAAGATATACAGTAATTATGAAGAGGTTCACCAAACACACATGGGGAGATTTTCTGATCACCAATCGATATGAACAAAGAAAAATAATGCATTCAATATCAACTACCATCCAGCCTTATTAAACCATCGGGTTGTCGCCCGAGTGGAAACCATGGCGTGTCAACTTTAAACTTCCACCACTGCTACCACGAGATAACCCTTTTTTTAAGAAGATGAATTAGCACAAAGCAATATCCCTCACCATCGACAAAAAACAATTGTCCAGCACGACGTCCACGATAACCAAACAAATACAAAGTTCGTTGAAACAAATCGTTCCACGAATCTACCCACACAGGATGTTGGCTGGTTTATGCCAAGGTAAAAGAGCACTGGCCATGGCCATGGACTCATAATGACTCATACATATCCTACAAAATGTCCGTACGTCCATCTTGCGGAATATGAATGAGCGATTGAGATGGGATTCGGCCAATAGATGTTTATTCAACATCCCAATATCCACAATGTGGTGCCCCTCAGTTATAAGTTGGTTTATAAACCCCATTAACTAGTTCGTTATATCTACCATAAACCATAGAAAAATTGGACTTAGGTGCACCAACTTAGCGATTCCGAACTGGGGCACCCCAATATCCACCATTCACATCTCCACTATGACTGGATGAATATGTAGATATTCCTACCATAAACCTACCATGACTCAATGGCCATTTCAGGAACCTAAATTGGAGCTACCTACCATATATTTTTGGCCTATTTTTTAGGCCTAAATTTCAGGGAATTTCCCCACAATTCATATGGCCAAAAATATGGTACTAACGTACCTCTATTTTAGGATCCTGGAGATCTCCCATTGAATGACTGGGGATCTTTGAACTTCCCATCCCATCAGTGATGCTGGCTGAGAAAAAAACCTCCTGGGGCCCTGGGATATTGATGATCTAATCCAGCTCTTCAATGTGTTTAAACGTTAAGCATCTTTATCATCCATGAATCTAGAGTTGTTCAAGTCAACCCACCTATGTAAACAGTAACATCGCACATACTATCCAGGAAACTTGAGCCCATCCCTGCACCATAGCACCACTATCCATTCAAGTGCTAGTTCCTCAATGTCTCATGGATTCCCCGGAAACCATTTCCCGGTTCCAACCCCCATCGATAGTAAGAAAAAAACCATCAATCAATATGGGGGGTTTCATAAATGTTGCTATCGCAATAGCTGGATGGTTTATAATTTATAATGGAAAATCCAAACATAAAATAGATGACAAACAGGGGTACCCCCTATTTCAGGAAACCTCCTTTTCTGGATTATAGTTATATCTACCAACTATATGATATATGGCAGATATTGGCAGATACTATATGATTATCTAAACCATGTCCTCCTTTTTAAAAAGCCCCGCGCCCGCCTTTTGGCGGGTCCCCGGAAAAACCCTCCACCGGAATTTCCACCCGGAAAAACGCGTTCCTCCACGGGATCCACCGGCTCCACTTTCTTGGCATAGAAACAGCCCCAGGCCGTGCCCAGCTCGTTGCGATACCATCCCAGCTGCGTTTCGCCGCAGTGGGACACGTTGCGCAGCCCTCCAGCTGTAGGCTGTAGCCTGGGTTTAATGGCCATGTCATTGAGGAAAATGATGACTAACCAATGGAATTAGAGGTACCATACTTTTCAGACAAACCCATATTATGTTAGATATGATTGGTATTCGTTTTTGTTCAAGTTGCCATAAGAAAATTGTATCACTCTTCTTCGTTGGAAATTTAGGGAACCATAGCAACTTCAATGGCCGTGTCAGGTCCCTAAACTGGAGGTACTGTACCATCTAAAGCCATAGAAATTGGAGGTTTATCCCTTACATTCAGTATTTCATGGTAGATACCTCCAATGTCCAAGTTACTGTAGGTTCCTGAAATGGCCACTGACAATTCTTGCTTGAAGCTTGTCACATTGCTTCCGCAATCTGTCTAAATATCATCGACAGAATCGCTGCAGGACGATTTCCATCAATGGATTGGTTTAAGGGAAAAATTACAGGAAAGCCCCATGATCTTAATGGGAAAATCTATGGTTTCCGGTTAAGATTTTCCCTTAAACCAATCCATTGAAATATATAAATAGTTGACCTAGTTACCCTCTGGTAAATTAACATAGACCCTGGCAGTCATCGGGGTTGGAAGACTTGTTTCCATTAAAAATTGGTGATTTTCAGGGTCTATGTTAATTTACCAGGGTGTAAATGGGGGAAAGATGTGAAAAATTAGACTATGCTCGTATTGAAACCCATGGTGACTTGGGGATAGCCCATGACTCAAGAAACCCCCCAGAATGATGTTTGGTGCATAGCTATGGTACTTCGATGGCCCCTGGAGTTCGATCTGAAAAAATTCCCAGAGGTTACCCGATTTTCAGACAAACCACATGAAAGGATGGGCAAATGAATGGTTGATATCAGAAAATGAATGGGATAGATTAGATGAAAAATAGATTAAATAGAGTAAATAGATGAAATAGATGAAAACGTCAACACACAGAGAGAAAAATAAATGCCTGTCTTTTGTGGAATTATATAGACAGACCATAGACTATAGACCACATCTTTCACAATACATTGGCAGTGGTTTTGGAAGGGGACCAAAAGCCGGCTGCCTTATAGTTCACATCAGTGTTCCCATAGAAAGTCACACGTTGAGATGTGAGTAAGCTACAGTACCCAATTTTGGCGCTATTTGGTAGTGACCCATACCCTCAATTCTTGGAGCGTTCACTTCTTTCCTGCCAACATATACCTGTTGCTGGTGATCTCTTCATTCTTCAGGGCAAAAAAAAAATGACAATGTTGCTTGCCCTCGGCCATGGCAAAGATATCGCCAGTGTTTTGGTGGCATCCCCGTGCTTGCCGAAAGTCCGAAATATCGATTCTGTGCGCGAAATCCGCACCGTTTGGCGGGTGAAAACACGTTGGTTTTTCTTGAAATCCTGATCTTTGGCGAAAATCACATCTTTTCCCATCGTCCGCCGTTTTTCCAGCTGGTGAAAAGGTGGTGAAATCAACCAAATCCCAATTTTTGAGGGAAAATCCTCCCACTTCAAAAATCAGCTGATATCAGCTGCTCCTTTCTTTGTGATCCCATTTTTCCCCCTAGTCTTCCCATGATGTTCCCATCGTTTCCTGTGTGGAGACTTTTTTTTATCCCAGCGGCTCGAATCTGGAGAAGGCCAAGAAGGACAAGCCGTCCACTTTGACCTCAAAGGCTTCGTCGTAGATCATGGTCCTTGCTGGTGACCGGCAGGAAAGAAAAACTATGGGGATTTTAAGCATCAAAAACCATTGGGTTTTTGGTGTCTTTTTTTTGCATCTTTTTGTTTCTGAAGTTCAAAAAATGCTTGAACTGACAACGTGTTTTTTTTTATACCATAGACATGAAAACTGAGGATTTCAGCATCCAAGCTTTGGAATATATGTATGTATATATATATATAATCATCGAATACAGTCCAATACAAACATCAATCATGATGGCTTCAGCATGAAAATTGCAATTTGAGCATCAACAAAAAGATTGTGAATGGGGAAGATAGGTTTCGAAAGAAGAAAACATTTGAGGTATCTTTGGGATGTTCATTCCATCCCCCGAATTCTATGGTGGCTGAACTAGCTGTATCAACATATATAGTTAGATAATATTAGATATATGTATATATATATATGTATATATATATATATGTATATATATATATGTATATATATATATGTATATATATATATGTATATATATGTATATATATATATGTATATATATATATGTATATATATATACATATATATATACATATATATATATACATATATATATATATGTCATCCTGGAGTAGATAGAGTATGTGAGTTTCAAAACAATCATCGCTGAATAAATTGAAATATGTTTGAAAATCCCATGTTCTATCTACTTCAGGACGATTATAATAATATATTCAGATGTACACCGGATATAAACAAAGGTGGTATTGAAAATTAGGGGGAAGGGTCTACTATCAATTTTTCAGCCATACAGCATGCGGATGGGATTTTACACACTGGATGGCTCTCAGCTCGCAGTTGAACTTCTGATGGATATAAATTTTAAAAAAAATCGCGAAGAAAATCGAAGGAAATTGCAGGGAGCCATGGTATACCATCTATCATCATAGAAACTTGTTGTTTTTCAGGGGGGTTCTTCAAAGCCCTCTTTTTTCATCAACCAACCAATGGGATTTTGGGACATCTACCCTATGGTAATTTAACATAGCTATTGAAAATCACCATAGAAATAGTGAGTTTTCCCATTAAAAATGGTGATTTTCCATAGCTTTTTGTATGTTTACCAGGCCGGGTACCCATGGCTTTCACCGTGCCATGGATCCATCTCCCACGTTGCTGCTCCGAATGTGCCACGTTTGGATCCAACAGTTCCACCTGAAAATCGGGGCAGGAAAACCCATGGAAAAAAAAGATCGGGGTGGCAGTAACCATCAAACAATGGATTGGTTTTCACGGGAAAATCTTAACCGGAAACCCATGGGTTTTTACCATCAAATTGATCGGGCTCAAACATGAAATACACTGGATTGGTTTAAGGGAAAATCTTAACCGGAAACCCATGGGTTTTTCCCATTAAGATCATGGGGCTTTCCTGTAAATTTTCCCCTAATCCAATCCATTGAATCAAACATGAAATACAACATGAACCAATGGTACCCTCTGGTAAACGTTAACAGTTTGCTATTGAAAATGGCCATAGAAATAGTGGATTTTCCCATGAAAAATGGTGATTCTCCATAGTTATGTTAGCTTACCAGAGGGTAATATGGTGAATTATGGGATGATATGATAATTATGATGATACTTATGGGCTAGTAAATTATGACTGGTTGGTGGTATACCTACCCCTCTGAAAAATGATGGAGTGAAAGTCAGTTGGGATGATGACATTCCCAATAATCCAAATGTCCCAAACCACCATAATACAACATGTTCTGAAGATATGAAGAATCTAAAACAAGTCTGAGAGACATATAAAACATTATATATATAACTATATCACATTTGGAATTTGGGGTGCTACTGGTGTTACCCCCCAACAGCTTCCAATTTTGGTAATGGATCGAGGTGTAGATCTCAAAACTGCTCGGGAAAGTCATTCACAGAGAACGTTCTTCGTTTTCTATGTTCTCACTGAGATATTGAAATCAACACTGGTTGGTGGTTTCAACCCCTCTGAAAAATATGAGTCAGTTGGGATCATGAAATTCCCAATATATGGAAAAATAATCCATTCATGTTCCAGTCACCACCAACCAGATCACCATTTCTTGTTGGTTCAATCCCATTAAATCCCATAAAAGAACCATTTTGGTGGATTGAATCCCAGAAAAAGCACCAACCAGTTAAAATCAACACATCTCAAAAAAAAAACCTGGGAATTCCCATGGGAATTCCCATGGATTGCCCATGGATTGCCTCCCGCAGGGTGGTGTTTTGCAGCAAACTCAGCGGCGGTTGTCGCTCCGCCACATCAGGTCGCGCATGGCCGCAGGAGGAACGCCTCAGGAGTCCCGGTCCGGTAGGTCCTGGTCCTGGTGTCATCCATGGCTAGCGGGGAATCCGCTACGAAATCCGTGTATCAATGGAAGATATATGGAAAAAATCACCAAAAATCGTGAAAAATGGTCATGGTTCTTGTGATTTTATCCTGTAATAATGGAGATTTCAGTGGGAAAATCATCGAACTAAATGCTGGAAATCATCAAAGAGGTCCTGAAGGTGAGGAATGCTACCTTCTGGTGTCAAACATGGCTACCCTCTGGTAATTTAACATATCTATTGAACATGGCTAGTGACTAATGATAGTTGATTTACTTATCAAAGATTGTCATTTTCCATAGTTATGTTAGTTTACCAAAGGGTCGCTGGAAAATCCCCAATGAAATCCTATGAAAAATGGTGATTTAATGATATTCAATGGGTGTTTCATGGAAATTTCCCTACGTGAATGGAGGTTTATAGCTGGGAAAATCATCTGTGTGAATGTTGTACTTTCCAGCACGCCATGTTTGATTCGCAGAGGGTCTATCAGCTTATATCTCCATTAGATGTATTTAGAGATTTTAGAGGTGATATTTACCCTCTGGTAAACTAACATAGCTATGGAAAATCACCATTTTTCATGGGAAAATCCACTATTAATGGCCATTTTCAATAGCTTTTTGTTAACGTTTACCAGGCCGGGTAGAGATTCTATGATTCTTGTTATTATCGCTGCTTTCAAATGAATCTCGTTGGTTGATCATGATTTTCTTGCCATTCTCATGAGAATCGCAAAGATCATCATAAACGACCCTCTGGTAATTTAACATAACTACGGAAAATCACCATTTATAGTGAATTGAAGCATGAAAAATGGTGATTTTCCCATCAGTTATGTAAACGTTTACCAGAGGGTAAACATCTCGATGGAAATCTATGGGCAACACCCCTGTTGCCTTCGTGTTTCACGGTCATTAACCTCCATCAAAGCCTTATTCTTTTGAGGCGCCTGGCTGATTTAGCACACCTTGGGTGGTTACCATTGGCTATGCTATGTTAGGAAAACCCCAGCCCGCCATCCCCGTAGGTGATGTTCCCACATATATATATATATACAGTACCTATTCCCATGATTGCCAGTACCCACTTCATGTCGCATTTTTATGGTATGTTCATATCCCACTTAATTAATCCCACTTAATATCCCATGACAGAGCCGCTAAGCTAGGCTTCCCAACTCCTTCTGCGCAGGGCCTAAAAAGAATTGCCACCGCCCTAGCAGCTGATGACGCAGACAGTGCACCTACGCGATGGCTGGAAATTTGGGCCGAAAAAAAAATGGGGTGCAACGACTTAAGTTGGTAATGTGTGTTAGTACTAAACCATGTGGGCAAGATATTGCACTCTATCTATATATATATATATATCTATATCAACATGATTCACTAACTTGAAATGTTTGGTCATTTTGGGGTGGTTCCCCAACTCCAAAAGCCATCGATGGTGATGTGTGGCAGCCCTAAGCCAACCAGCCCAAGGGCGGATTTTGCCCAAGGCCCCGTGTGGGTTTATATAGGACTATACTATGACCCATGTGTGTAAAACAATGTCATACACCATCCATGACTGGGAATCGTAACCATACCACCTATAAAAATGCTGATGACTGGTTTATGAAATTGTTTTACTCACATTATACTGCAAAGGTTGAATGGGAAGAAGTCCATTTGAAATCCATTGCAATGCATGAACCATGCCGACATCAACCAGTAAGCTTTAGATTTCCAGATTTGACCCTGTAAATCCCAACAGAACCAACCACCCATGACCAAGAAACGACCAAAAAATTACCAACGAAATATTTTGAACTACCCCAGGCTGAGGCTACAAAAATCTCAAAAAACTTTAGAGGTTCAATTCATTCAAATACTGCCATGTTTGGTCAAAATCCACAGGTTTCATCATGTTAGACAACTTTTGGCCCCATATAACATCAAATACACACCCTTTAAGATGGAACCTGAAAAAATGGATCTCACATGATTCTACGGTGGCACAACTGTTGAGTGGCCGTATCCCCAGCTGACTTTTTGCCACTTATCTATCGTGGTTTCCAGATGGTTGCCATATATTACTGTATCCTACGGCACAGTACACCATTGCGGACATAGCAGCATGTCTTTTCATACATTCTACAATTTTGTCCATATGTACCCATTGTTTCCTGTAGGGATGTGTCTGAGAATGGAGTACAGTATACCAAAAAAAATGAGTTCTTGATACGCAGCATGCTTGGCTGATTCGCAAATGGATTTCAGGCTGTTCCCCGTAAATCTTCAGGAGCCAAAGCCATATTTTCTATGATAGATTGTTGATATATTCACTCTATCTACTTCAGCATGATTATATAAACATATGTATATACATAATCATATATATATATATATCTTTATCTATAAGCCGATCAACCATATTTAAGCCCATAAGTAACTATGGTAAATGGTTATATATGTAAACTATCTTAAACTATAGCAAATGGTTTACAATGGTTTACCCAAAAACCAGTGATACTTCAACTATATAAACTATAGATAACTATAGTAAATGGTTAACCCATGATTCATGGCTTTAAAAAAAAAAAACGCCCGGTCGTTCACCACGGGCCCCAGAGGCTGCACCGGCAAATCGGCAGTGGCCAACTGCACCACAACGGCCGCCAAGGCCTCGGCGGTTGGCCCGAGCCGAGCCGATGTTTGGGGGACGTTCAGCAGCAACAAATGGGATGTTCACCGACATCCTTGGGGTGATTTCTCTACCCTCTGCTAATTGAACAGTTTGCTATGGAAAATCAGAATGCTATTAATGGGTAAATCCACTATTTCGACTGGGCCATTTTCAATAGCTATGTAACAAATTACCAGAGGGTAGATTTCTCGAACCAACATGCTGAAGATTGATCATATCGATCTATGCTGCTTGGTGGTTTGAACCCCTCTGAAAATGATGGAGTTCGTCAGTTGGGATGATGACATTCCCAATATGATGGGAAAAATGAAAATGTAGCCACCAACCAGTATGTGTTTCTGTGTTTTGATGTGACTTTAGCCAGCAAATATGGTGATGTATGGCATGGTCATCGGAAAAAATTGGAATTCCAAGAACAAAATGTGGATTCTAAGATTCTAAGCAACAAGAACTGGGATAGATACAAGACAAATATTCCATGTAAAATCATGTACAGTAAATACAGATGTTACTGGATTTTTTGCCAACAAATGTAGGGGGAACTATCCTTAAACTGTGGATATCATATCACAAATGCGCATTCACCAGGCAATTTTCATTGGGATCTACGGGACTCTTACAAAAAACCAGAAAAATTGCCATCTTTGCGCAGTAAGTGATCGAAACTGGGACTTAAGAAACAGGTACCCTCTGGTGAACATACAAAAAGCTATGGAAAGATCCACCATGCTATTAATGGGAAAATCCACTATTTCGACTGGGCCATTTTCAATTGCTATGTAAACGTTTACCAGAGGGTAAATGGCCCAGAAACGGGTTACCAATAGGCCCATCTTGACTCATCCTTCCCTGTCCCCGTCCGTCACCTTTGCCGCGCAGAAAGAAGAGCTTCTGCTGTAAGCTATAAATATGCTATGCAATTATAAACCAATATACAGTAAATGAATATACCATCTGGTTATGACTGACATAGCCATGGAAAATCACCATGCTATTAAGTTCGGTAAACTATCTATTTCGATTAGGGCCATGGCTATACCATGGTCATGTTAGTCATAACCAGATGGTAAATTACCCTCCAGTAAATTAACATAGACCCTGCCAGATAGGATTTGGAAGATTAGTTTACACTAAAAATTGGTGATTTTCAGGGTCCAACTGTTAATTTACCAGAGGGTATATGTCCCATCATTCATCAATGGAACTGGATGGTGCCATCTTCGAAGATTCGTCCTTTTCACTGCGGCTTGGTGAAGCCACGGCCAGTTGCTGCAGCCAACGCGCCTCTCGCGTTGCTGCGAACGGTCAAGTTGTCAAGTTGGCCGAGATTTATGTGCGTCACGGAGCAAGACATGGAGTTGAGTTGATGATGCCAAAATCATGGGATTCAATTGAGTCAGGGGTATACCCGGATATTGAACAAAATCCCAAAATTGGAAAATGAACCAGTAAATCATGGTATAAATGGAGATGCGAAATGGGGATACAATGGGGAGTTTATGGATTTTAATCAACCAATTTATGGTGATCTGAGCAACTAATATGGGGATATCATGGGGCTATATGACTCACCATACAAGTGTGGTGATATTATAAGGATATAAAAGATATATAAAGGGGAATGTATGATGGGAATATAGAACCAACTTGACATTCTAAATGTGATTCAGTGGGGCCGTCTTTGAATATTTTGTTTATAGACCTCCATAGAATCGGCCATAAATGATGAAATTATAATGAAGCCATGGATTTTTTTCGGTTGAAATCTCTAGATCTTCAAGAGTCATATCAAAGCTTCAGGGGCAAGGTTGATAATGGTTTTTAAGTGATATTTCTATAGTTAATGAACTCAGCAAATCATTCTCAGATTTGAAGTCTTCCTTGGGAATGTGTCGTGGCATCGGGTATCGTTCCTGTCCTGCGAGTCTGAAAAAGATCACCCAAACTGGTGATGGGTTCGATTTTTTCTCTTATCATTGCTCAGCTAGCGAGACTTGCCAGGGTGTAAAACCACTAGCTATGTCCACAAACACAGACATGTCGATCTATTGGATGTATTGGTTTGAGGGAAAATCTACAGGAAACCATCGTTTTTGTACCCTAAAACCAAGAAACACATGTTCATTGTTCATTTCTAGCTTGTTGGTCTAAGAACCACATGTTGCTTCCACTCCCGACCTTGATCAAACCAGTCTCTCCATGGCTAGAGGGTTCAAACCAGTTACGCCCTGCCAAGCCCTGATTCTTCGATTGCGCGTGGGGCAAGACGCTGGCGAGAGAGTCGAGCGGTTTCCGGCGCTTGAAAAGCTTCAGTGTACGTGGGTCCATGTTCAACGCGAAGCTACAGTAGGATTTAGGCGGACTCAAAATCCCTACTTTCAAATGTGAGATTCACCGCCATAAACCTACCCGCTTGGGAAGGTTCGAACTACCCATTGTGATAATCGAAATGATTTATAATCCAGTTTACCACATGATTCAATTTACGTATTCACCAGAAAGGCTTGAGGTTTTCCCAAAACACTGCATGCGCACAAAGATGTGTGTTTTCTCCATGCTTTACACCATGGGATGGACATTAATCCTGGTCAACTGGTTCCTTCAACCAAGACCAACCAAGCCAGTGAGCATGCAATGGGTGGATTTTTGCTGCCGTCATTCACTATGAAACATGGTGTTTCACTCTCCTATTCCGGTTCCATCATGTAAATGATGAATGGTTAATCATGTGAAGAATGATGAACAATGTATTGATACATTTAAGTGAATATATAGCATTGTTCAATTTTTTTGTGACTGTTATTGAGCCATTGACTCCCTATGTTCCCTTTCAAGCCGATTTTTCACTGGGCTTGATTTCCATCAGACAACTGTGACTCGTGCGCTCTTGGGAATCCGCTAACTCGAAAAATGACCAGAGCAATGAGCACGTCGAGGTCGCTCGACGTCAAGAAACCCCTACCGTGTTGTGCCGGGCATAGCCATATGGGTATGGGTCAATACCTATAGATACATTTTAGTGGGATGAACATCCATTTACCCATTTTGGGGTTCACTAGGTACCAGGGTTTTGACCCATCCCCATATGATTCAATGATGGTGTGAATTGCATGCCAAAGCGACTCCTCTGTTTGTTGCAAAAGGAAAGTCAGCGGTTTCAACTTCCTTGGTTCGGTGACTCCCCAATAATAGACGATTAACAAGTCTTCATAGATCCTTTTCAACGTAGCTCTTGGTGGTTGATCAGCCTTTTACAAACCCAACCATCATAGTGGGTCACCGTCAGATCCGTCAGGCACTATCCAAAAAAACGGGGAAAGTTTGATCTGAACCCAATCCTTCCGGGAATGATAGGGGTGACCCCTGACCCCCCCAATGACAACGGTTGATGGGTAGGGCACATATCAACCACCAACGTTTCCTCTGTGGTTCCAACGGCAAATCTTCACCAGCTTTGTTGCTGAACTCTTCATATCATGGCCAATCTTCGATACTTACAGAAAACGCCCTGACGTTCTTGCTGGTTATATATGCATATATCTATATATGGCATATATAGGCATATATAGGCATATATATATATACATATGTGACAAAAGTGAGCATCAACACATATATATATATACACAATGGGTATATGTGTATACTTTTACATTGTTCTACAATTTCAGATATCTATATCTATATTCTTATTGATATATCGATCTATATCTACATCTATATCTCTATCTATCTCTCCATCTATATCTACATCTACGTCCATAGAAATCCACAGATCGACGTGCTCACAGTGCACTGCGCCCCTGGGCTCCAGGGCAGCGCAGCGAAGTTTTGGCGGTTTCACCGCCGTACTTAAAGCAAGTGGCGACGCAAAGCAGAAACCACCAGGAATACAAGCAATAATTAGTATAGTTGATTGGGATTATATAAGTAACTATAACATACTATAACTATATATACTATATAATGTCAACCCCGGATTAATAAACCATGGTTTATTAATGTTTATTAATTAGGGGGGTACTCCTCCAATAGTCATAATCCAATACTTAAATGGTACCCCCCCCAATTAACCAGCCGTTTGGGGTTTATTAATCCAGGGTTGACATTAGTATAGTATAATATGTGTTAGTATAGTATGGTTTCTATAATTCCTTTTTTGTATAATACTATACTATAATTATCAATGTGTATAAGATATGGACAATACTAACTAAATCAATTTTAGTCAGGTATATAGTTATCTCTGTGTATATAATTATACATACATATATATATATACATAGTGTGGTTCATTAATTGAGATTGCTATGGAAATCCATGTTTTTGAGTGGAAATGAGCCGGATTTCAGGCGGAATTCTTCATGACTTTGCTAGTTTACTGTATATATATACCCTCTGGTTATGTCAAAATAGCTATTGAAAATGACCATTTATAGTGGATTTTCCCATTGAAAATGGTGATTTTCCATAGCTATGTTAAATTACCAGAGGGTAATACATAGATAAGCAGCCAGAACATAGCCGAAGATACTGAACATGAGAAGCCAAACCCATGCGTATCAGTCTGTAGCAACTAGTGCACTTGCTTGGGAACCCGCTGTGGCTGCTGAAATATAATCATTTTTGAACAGGATTATGTACATACCCTCCGGTAGTCAAACATGGCACTGGAAAATTTCGAAATGTCTAGATCATTGTCCAATCAAAACCTCTATTCATAGAGGATGTTCCCATTAAAACCTCCATTTCTAGGGGTGTTCCCATTTAAAATTTATGAAATCACCATGTTTTCGCAAGTCAATGGGAAGATTTCCAAGCCATTTCTACTGGATTCTCCTTTTTCTGCGGTTTCTGCGTCGCCTGGGTAATCTCCTCCGTTCCGGATGCACGACCCAGGCATCCGGTCGCCAAGCTCTTTGAGGTTACAGAATTGGCGTCACTGTGGGGTCAGCAGGTTACGGAAACAAACCAAACAAACCAGCCTTGTCGCAGCAGACATGTGCTCAAAAAAAAATATATAGAGAAGCGTTCAATACTGTTTTCTCTGCTTGCTGCGTTCTTGTTGGCTCTGGCTACGGGATAAAATTGGGCATCCAAAAAAAAACACGGTTGGGACATACCAACTTCAGTGGTACGGAAACTCAATTTGTAGCTCAAACTGGCTGGCTCCCCGTGGCTGGGGAATATGGAGACCCAAATCACTCAGCTCGTTAGCTCTCTCCATTCACCACTTAGTCATCCCATCCACTGGTCTTACCCTGGATGGCTTGTGGATTTGGCTTCAATCCTTCTGTGCCAGAGGTTCATTTCTTTGGCAGTACCACAGCTATCAGTCTTGATGCGGTTCCAATGCAATGCCATACATGTGGTACATCCTAAGCCATAACTGCCCAAATCCGAGTTTGTCTGAAGGCATTTGGGGGTCCGTTGGTCCCAGAGTTGAAGGACAATTCGACCGGAAACTCTGACATATTTGAAGGTCAACACCATGGTATTTCACTCGATAGTGCAACCAATCCCTTGGGTGTTCGAAACTGCATTCATAGTTGGCAAATCCTCTGTGGCTGGCGAAACCATGATTTGTCCATAGTGGTTTTCCATTCATATTGGATCATATATTATCCACTTGATTCATATGATCATTATATATTATAAATTGTCATATTATATTATCATATATTGTCACTTCATATCCAATTTTGATGGCTGGTGGGGGAATCAATCCACTTCTCCTCAATTGACATCAGCTGGGTCAGCCTGTGCTTCGTGGGAATGCCGGGGCGAATCTCGGTTCGGCTGCGCAGAGTGTTTGATGGCTGGCCCTGCACAAAGCAACCAAGAATTAGAAACTCCGACAAGAAAAACATGGATTGAAATAGATTTATATAATATGTATCTATATTCTTCATCATTCTATATATATATATTCCCATTTTGTGGCCAAAGCATAAGAGTTCCTGCACTGGTGCAAAAGACCGTCCAACCAAAGGAAGTCATGGCTTGAGAAGCCACAGTAGAATTTCCAGCGTCATTGGATGTCCTTTTGAAAAAACCTCCGGGGTGTTGGTTTCAAGGTTTCGTTCTGTAAGCGGTCAAAATAAAAATTACGTGGTTTCTACGGGCATCAAAATCCTTTTTTTGACAGAATTTCCAGCGGGATCAACAAAGACCTCGTTTTGGGGTTGCGAAGAACCAGGGATATGGTTATACATGGTTATATATGGTTATATATATATGGTTATACATGGTTATAGATGGTTATACATGGTCATACATATTGTTATATATGGTTATTTACGCCATTCATCAAACATTGTGTGAGATCTTCGCGACCAAACTGCCGCAGGCCAGGTCAATTTGATCCTCCGCTGGGTTTTTTTGGACCATCCAAGAGGTGGGAAAGGTCGAAAGCCTCTGGGAATGGGAAATCCCGAAAGGCCTACAGGATTGGGAAACCAGTTCTGTTTGTTGGTTTATAAATTTATGAACCATGAAATAGCCCCCATGAACTACAGTAGAAGTTCCTTATATCTGCCATAAACCATAGAATTCAGCCACTTTTTTTAGGCAACTGAACGCTATCGGGGGGCCATCCTGTAGCCATGGAGGGTGAAAAAGCTGGGAAAATTATTGAACCAAATCCCGGATTTTCTTGCCATGGAATGCCATTCCTGGAAGGTATAGGTTTGCCTGAACATAGGCTAAATCCACTGGTGAATTTTGCATGGGATGGGAAGTCATCTGCAAGAATTTTGCATGGGTATCTAAGATGTTCGGGGATGAAATGGATGAAATCATTTCTTAATAGCTTGTGCTGTCTGGTAAACTGACATGGCTTTGAAATGATCTATATAAAATTCTTCTGGATGTTACAAAAATGATTGTATCTTTACCGGATGGTAAAGCTCTAAATCTCCCCGCACGAAATAAGCATCGAAATGGAAAACTCATCGAACTAAATGCTGGATTTCCCGCTACAAAACATGTGGAAAAAAAGCACCATTCGTAGATCATTGTCGGCTTTGCGCTTTCCCCATGGGGGTTTTCCATGGTTTTCCCACATCTTTTCTAAACGTTGAAAACCCGAAAGTGGCCACCATGCGTTTCTCCTATTTTTCTTCCATCCCTGGATCTTCAGCATGTTCCTAGATCTCCCCGGTTGATACAAAAATCCACGCGGCATCTCCCAAAATGGACAAAAAAGTATCCCCGTGCAAGGACTGCTGTGATAAAGTCACACATAAATGGAATATTCCATGTACATCTCATATGCATATATATATATATGAATGTATATACACTGTTGGTATTCTAACCGCTTACTGATTGGGAATGCACATCCAAGTCACTGAGTGGAACTTAACATATATTGCCCATATCCCGCCATATTTATCCACTCACATTTCAAATGGTTCAATATTCTTCGGGTATGGCAACATCCAAAAGATGGAGAAAACTAGATAAATCTAACCTTTCCTGCATGATTTTCCGGTTTCAACATCCATTTGTTGGTGACTACAATCCCGTCTATGATATGTTTAATCATTTAATCCACCAACTTTTATGTATTGATGATCCCATATGGTTGGTGATACGTATCCAATGGATCATAAATCACCAAGCATACATTTATCTATGATATGTACCCTCTGGTAAACTAACATAGCTATTGAAAATGGTGATTTATAGTGAGTTGTCCCATTAAAAATTGTGATTTTCCATAGTTATGTTAGTTTACCAGAGGGTAAGTATCATTCCAGCTCATCCCACACATTTTTTCGCTCCTGGTGTTCGCTGTTCAATGAACAGCTGTCACGTAGTCTCCTCAGGAGCACTTTCGGGGTATACCACCAACGGCCTAAAAAAAAAAAATAGACTCACCCAAATGTCATGAAATTTTAAGAAAAATCACCATGATAGTCTTATTGTTTGTTGGTGAAGTCACATTGTGCTTGCTTATACTGGGCTATACCCCATTGGGGTGTGTCTGAAAATGGGGTATATCCTCAAATGACTATTTTAAGAGGGATAATGATTTTTAATCAATGGATACAATGGGGTACCAAATATTTTCATACAAACCCATTTCCAACCTGCGAGTTGGGATGGCTTACCCTCTGGCTATTTAACATAGCTATGGGAAATCACCATTTTCGATGGGTAAATCATCAGTTTTATCATCTACAAATGGGCCATCTATACCACAGCTATGTTAAATAACCAAAGGGTATAGCCAATCCCAGGCCTGTTCTGTTCTTGCCGGGAGGTCACAATCAATCTCTGGGTTTTTGGGATCAATCCCGGTGACGTTCATGAAGGCATCTTGAGGGGTTTCCATAGTCATGGGGGATCCCCAATAGCTGGATGGTTTATTTCATGAAAAATCCTCATATAATGGATTATTTAGGGGTACCCCTGTTTTCGGAAACCTCCATATATATATAGAGAGAGAGAGAGATTATCGTTCTTGTTGATTGTTCAATCACTGTATCTTCAATGTTCCTCACAATTTTGTGAACGGTTCAATCCCCCTATCTCTAATTCTTGTAGCCCCATCGTGCCAATTGTCTTAGGCAACCCCAGAGTTTTTACTCATATATAGCATATACCCCTATATCCACGGATGATAGACATAACGTCAGAATGGGATAGATTTAGAATGTCATGTATAGTGGGATATATAGTGGGATTTAGATTTTGGAGGTTTTTTTCCCAGTTGCAACTAGGGTGAGTGGGCCGTCGCATTTTTTTCGGTGATGTAGTTATAACTATAGATGAGTCCTGAAAATGAGGTACCCAACATTCCTATCGTTGATCATCAAGTTCCCTATTCAAATGGCGCAACTGGGTGTATTCAGTATGGACCAACTCAGAGGAAAATGTCCATGTTTTCTCAGTTCAATCCCATGCATTCCATCGTATATACCGCTGAAATCCCAGCGTTTTTGACGCTTAAAACATCTTCAACCCCAGCGTTTCCCGCACTCGGCGAAGCCCCACTTAGCCAGTGCAAAAGGGGGTACCTTTTTTTTAGCTTGACCAATACCCAAACCACAAGGGTTATCCCATTCTATCCCCATCCTACAAAATCCGATTTTGGTTGGTGAAGTCCCTATACCTCGAAACCATGGGACCAGGTGATGTATGACTTGGCTCCCCAAACTCCAGAGCCACCAGGGATTACCATCGTGGCCACTGGGCTCCCATTGAACATCGAGGCACCAGCTCGTTCACTGGAGGGATACGCCGTGCTGGATAGTGCTTCACTGTCCATTGGCACATCCTGTGCGAAATCCCGTCCTAAAAGAGTGATGTTTCCTGAGCAAAATTGGAAAAACATAGCATAAAAGCTATGTACCCTCTGGTTATTTAACATAGCCATGGAAAATGGCCCATTTATAGATGGTTTACCTATTAAAAATGGTGATTTTCCATGGCTATGTTAAATAACCAGATGGTATATGGATATTTCACCAGAACCAGCAAGAGAAGTGGCTTATAACCAGATTGCATCGAAAAAATAGTAGGCTCTAACAGTGGGTTTGTTTTCGCCCGAAAAAAGTGGCTCATCGCTGCATTCCATTTGGGGATGATTCCTATGACAAAAACCATCATTCCAGTGACGGAAAACGACGTGAGGTCATTCTAATTCATCCAGATAATATTAGATATATATATATATATTATTATATATATAATCATAAATTCCCATATTTTTCCATGTTCACCGCATAAATGCCTCAAGTTAAACACCGGCCGCCAGCCGTGGAATCCCCATGTGGGCACCGCTTCAGTCGCCGTGGATGATCCCCGTCCCCGGGATGAAGGCTGCGCTCCTTGGGAGCCATCAGCTCTAAGGCTTTCTTCAAGCCCACCACCTCCAAGGGTTTGACGAAGGACGTCCGGGATTTTTTGAGCAGGGATCAAGAAAAATGAAGCTTTTCACTAGCAAAACTGAGGATTTTTTTTCAGGATTTGAACTATGAAATGAGTGGTGGATCTCTCAATCTAGAACGTTTACCATGTTTGGTCGCTAGAAACCAATGCTTGATCGTCGAATGACTATTTATTGCTAGTAGCACAAAAACCATTGGATTTCGGATTATGCTGCGTGCACGTACGTGTAATTATGTTCTTTTGTCATCCTGAAGTAGATAGAACATGGAAATGTGAAAAAAAATGGCAAGATCTTTGAAAATTCCATAGTCTATTATATCTACAGGGTGAGTGCATACATACATAATAATACATATATATATATATCATACATAATCATACATGTATGTATATATCTATATATATATACATAATATATATATATATATATATGTATGAATAAATTGGATCATGGGAGGTTTCCGAAGTCATGGGGCTACCCCCAGTCATCGTATCGCGAGCCAACGTATCCCAAGGTGGAGCACCTTCAGATCCGACTCGAGGATGTCCAACACCTGCGGGGTCTTGTGGAGCCAATTGGAAAATGGGAATATCATGGGGGATTTGATGAACAGATATGGGGAGATATATATATATATATATGTGTATATATGTGTATACGTGTATATATATAATGGGATTTAAGTTATAAGCAACAATGTTGTTGTTTTTAATGGGATTCAAGCAACAATGTTGTTTTTATGCGCAACAAATGGTGATATCAATGGATAAAATGATGCGTCCAATGGATTTTAAACAAGCAGTTTGTGGGGACTAAAGCAAGAAATCTTATGGGGGTATTTCTCACGAACTTGATATGATGTTTGGGTCTGTCGGAATGGGGTAGCCTATGTTCAGACAAACCCATTTCAATGATTGCAGTGGGCTTCCATGTGATTTGCAATTGCATCTTTTGATTTTTTGAACAATTGTTAACAGCCATTGGGTCGTTGGGGATATGTGATTGGTTATTTAACTGAAAATCAATGGTACAAAATATGAAGAAGAAGAAGAAGAAGAAATCATGATAACAACAATAATATGTAATAATAGTGGAATAGTATCCAGTGAAATGATTGATGATCAAACCGTCATAATGGGATGTCTAGTATGGAGTGCGATATTCATAGTAACTTGTGTAATGAAAAATATGAAAATGGGATATTCATAGATCTTGTATATCTATTTAATGTGTTTGATATTTTTTGCCAGATATGTGGGGATATGCCACAATTGGATGTCGAAAATATCTATAAATATATATATATATATATGGGTTTGTCTGAAAATGTCGTGTACCCCTACACCCAATGGTTTTGCTGATCATTATCCCGTTTCTAAATGGCTATTTCATTGGGGGTATCCCCCATTTTCAGACATACCCATATCCATTTACCTAAGTACCTAGTGAACCCCAAAATAGCTGGTAAATGGATGTTCATCCCACTATAGTAATGGTATCTATAGGTATTGACCCATACCCATATATATAATGATATGACCCAACCTTCATCAACCTTCTGCGATCGTTCTTCTTTTTGGGATCACTATCTCAAGGGATCTTTCGGCTGGTTCTCTCCAACGACACCGGGACCTTGGATGCATGGTGTCATGGGCACCATAACCTGCTGAAATATATTGGAGAACCCCACTGAACGGAAACTTGGTGACTGGTAACTGGGGTTGTTAACCTTTTCGAAACTGTGATAAAGAATCGGCTGACATTTCTGTGGTTTATCCATGTTTGAAACCAAGTTCAGAAGGTTGCCAACTTAGAAAGTTCCCTCCAAGATCGGAAAAAGAAATCATGGTCTGGTTTCAATAAATAGCTGCTTGGTGGTATTCCCAATATATGGAAAATCAATGAAAATCATCATCCATTCATGTTCCAGTCACCACCAACCAGTCATCGTTTTCTTCAAAAATCCGGCCATTCATCAACCAATGGGGGGGTCTCCATGCTCCCCATCTCCAGTGGTAACGTTCCCAACGTTCCCTCGGCCTTTTGGTGTCCCTTGAGCCGTGCGAAATCCTGCCATCTACAGATGGGAGATATCAACCAAATCTGGGATATGTCATGGGATTTGTTCGTGGGAATATCGTTGGAATAATCATGGAACTATCTATAAATGGAAAAAGTCCATCGGATCCCTATGTTAAATTGCCAGAGGGTATTGTGCATATATATATATTATAATGTGGTTAAAACAATGTCATAAACCATCCCCAAAATCACCATTTGCATGGGTGGTATAAACCATTAAAAATGTGGTGGTTTATGACATTGTCTTAAAACCCGCATTATATATATATGTACATTAGGGATCATTATGGGCATATATATATACACACACTATATATATATATACACAATATTGTATATATATAGTGTGTGTATATATATAGTGTATATATATATATACATGGCTGGATTCTACTACGTCACCAAGCTAGAAAAAAAATGTCGCACGTCGATCGGGGATGATCTATGGCTTGGGGATGATCGCCATTAAAGACCTGGAAAAACCACTTCTTTTTATAGAAGAACCACCATTCAATAATTAAGGTACCAAATTTTGATCCATATCATTCCATATCATTCCACATTTTCTTTTATATATATATATATCATGGTGGCTATACCAATGGTGAATGGATCGGATATGTTTCATCTTTGTGATCATGCATGCCCTTACTTCCATATTTTCCTGGCTTTCCAAGATTCTTGTAGAAAGACAGAGAGTTTTTCCATGATCAATTGATTGTACCCTCCGGTAATTTGACATAGCTATGATATAACTGGCCCATTCACTTCCATGATTATCCTATTAACAATGGTGATGTTCTATAGCAAACTGTTACACTACCGGGAAGTAACTTTAACCAAGCGACAAGGGTTGAGATGCGTTTTTTGGGGGATTGATAAAAGAAGAACTGATGATGTGTTCATCAGGTTAAAAAGTCCCCTCTGGTAATCCAACATGGGTTGCTGGAATCTCCATTTTTTATGGATTATTTTCCCAGCTATAAACCTCTCATTTCTAGGGGATTTCCAGTTACCATGTGAAATTACTGAAAGGTACAACAACAGAAATGGTCTGACAAAGCTGTTTTGGATGCTGTCAATACACGACTGTTATCCCAAGGCCCGTGGGCCAAAAACTAAAAAAAACGGTGCTAACCGCTTGCATATCTTCGGTTGGAAGCTATATTCCCATTCTTGTCAGTGCCAATCCAAATGTGTGTCGCTTAAAATCCTTTGCCAATATCGCATTTATTCCTTTTGTTGCTGGTTGAAATCCGCATTTATTCCATCATTGACTGCTTAAACCCCAATGTTCAATGGTCAGTAACTAAAATAACTGAAATATCCCATAGATCCCCATCTTCTACTCGTTAAAAGCCACTCTCTTCTGCTGAAACCCACACGACTCTACTTAAAATCCACTTCGGTTGTTGAAATTCCAGAAAATAGAAATGGGTGTGAAATAGTTTTAGGATTTTTTCCAATAGAAATCTCCATGTTTCCATCTTTTTCCCTGGTTTCGATTGTTCCAAACCGCCGAACACCCCGAAAAACACCGCCGGCCTTGGCGGTTCTTCCTTTGGAGCTGGGCTGATCTGGTTCCGCCCCCTGTCACCGTTTGGAATCTTTGGGAGAGACTAAGGATGGTTAAGGATTGATTCATTACTAACCATTATCCACCATTACTAACCATTATCAACCATTACCAGTACTAATAATTCATACTGGTTAGTAATGGTTGATAATGGTTAAGAATGGTGAATGATAATGATTAATGGTGATGAGCCATTGCTTGACCATTGTAATGGTTAATATGGAGGATAATAATGGTTAGCAACAGTGAATCATAGTTAATAACGGTGAATTAGGCAACAATGGGACATTACAACCAGTAATAAAAGGATACCACTGGTATTCAAACGATAATTCGTTGGTAACGTCGCATCGACGCCGTTGTAATTCACCTGAAACCAAATATATCATGATATGGGAACAGTTTTTAATTCGCCCAATATTATCTCAACCCTAATATAGTTACTTAGGGGTGCATCCCACTTAATAAATGGGTTATACCCCCCAGTTTTATATATATATATGTTCCATATCCCCACTTATATTAATGGAATTACATTGTTTTTGTGGATTACCGGGCCCACACATCCAAGGACACTATCCAATGGAAATGAGAATCTGTGGTGAATCGCAGCAAATCACTCTGCCTGCATGAGCATCATGCGCACCAAATCACTCTGTCCATCGCGGGCGGCCACATGAATGGGCCACAGAGTCTCCTGGTCTTCACTGGGTTTTTCGGGGCGGAAAATGGTGGATGAGATTGGGAAAAATCTGGTGGTATAATCTGGTCGGTGGTTTTTACCATCTTGAAAAATATGAACGTCAATGGGAAGGATTCTCCCATATATTATGGAAAATAAAAAATGTTTGAAGCCACCAACCAGTATTGAATATATGGTGGGGATATCATGGGGATAAATGGAGTTATTCTACTTGGGTATATTTGAAAATGGGAATATGATGGGTATCTAGTATTTGACCAAGAATCAATGGCAATAGAATGAGAATATGAGCGGGATGCAACCAACAAGAGTTTTTGTGGGGTTGATAATGCTTCGCCATACTATAATCTGAATCACTCTTGGAAAGTGAAACAGTAGTTATGCACAAAAAAAGAATCTCAGGTTTTATTCCGAGGACTACCTTTCTGTCACTTTGCATAGATAGCAGCACCGACCCCGACCTTAAGCATGTGTCCTCTTCGACGGCTACAAGGAGCCTCTCGTTGGATGTTTGCAGCGTGTGTTGCAAAAGGTTACCTGCGGACATCCGTTGCTCTGTTCGTTGGAATGCCTGGATGCGTCTCCGAAATTCAAGGGGCCGTGGTTCTGGCTTGGCCATCATTTTTCCGCTCAGTGTCGGAGGCCTCTGAATTCGTAGAGTGGAGGTGTACTTGGACAAGCGCAACCAATAGTGAGAAGCAGCAGAGCCATGCGCACGCAAGTGTTGCTGGATGCGATGCAAAGAAGAATCTAGCTTTTTCATGGTGCAGGTGCCATGTAGGTTCACACAATGTTTCCTTGCATCCGCTGCCAGGAAGCCATTGCGTACAAGTGCCACTTGGTCCCATGCGCCTTGGAATAAGGAAGCTTCTTCGCAGGACGCAATATGTGCTGCTCCACCTGCGCACAGGCATCCCCCAGCAGTGCTTCCGCAAGCCTCACACTTTTCCCCTTCTGCTAGCCATCGTCCGCCAAGGCCAGGCTCGGACAGCGGGGGCACCGCTTCTCGAACAAGGCGATCCAAAGTTGCTCGGCCATGCTGGAGAAAGCAATCTGCGCAGGCCTCTGCGCGATCCCGTGTGAAAGCTGCTCCGCAAAGACATCGGTACCCACCGGCAGTCGTTGTGGAAAGACCACAGTCTTCTTGTCGTTGCAGCTGCTTGCCTGGCGCGATGCCCTCGCACCGGCAAAGGGCGTGGTCTTTACCTGGCGCAGGCAAGGGAAAGAAGACGCGACAGCAAACAAGACTGCAACAGCGGCACGGGTGCATTCTGCACTGCGCTCTTGTGCCTCGCATTCTGCAGCACCGGCATGTGGTCCTGGGGGCGTGCTTGCTGAAGAATGAACCTGCGGCGCGGCTGCAAGCATGTCAGTGCATCGTGGATGTCAAAGTGACGGCCACATGGATACGGACTGAGTAACCGTCCCAAACCTCCCATGACCTTTTTGTCGCCTGGTGAGGCTGCGGTAGCACTGCTTCCGCCTCAGCTTGCTGCGACCACTGATGGACACGTTGATAAGTTTGTCGCCGCTGAGGTGCGGACTCTACGAGGCTGGAACTTTTCGGACACGTAGTCCGGACATTGCGCAGACACGTCGCTGGGCGGGGTGAACTGCTGAGACGACTAGGCAGTGGGATCTGTGCGATTGCGGGCAATTGGGGCGACGAAATGTGCTGACATGTCCAGACTCCAGATTTATATTTCGGCCCTACAAATGGCAGAGACATCGGAGAAATCTAGAGCCAGGAAGAGATCACGCAGGGCTAAGAAAGAATCTGAAACTCTGTGAGCTGCAGCAAATAGAATTGCAAATTGACGGAATGATTGCGTCTGACTGCAAAACATGTGCAAGTGCGAGCGCAACGAACATTTTCTCCAGCCAGACATGCCATGGCCACAAGCGGCATGTAATGGGGCTTCAGATCAAAACTTTTCAGGCTATGATGCAACTCCTTGTTGCTTGTTATACATGAGCCAGCTGCAACGCAAAGACAATCTCTCAGGCAGAAGACTCAGCATACTCAACATCAGACATCCAGCGAGCCCATAATGGGGCTTCGCAGCAAAATTTCTCAGGCTCTGATGCAACTCCTTGTTGCTTATACATGAGCCAGCTGCAACGCAAACACAGCCTCTCAGGCAGCGACCTTATCAGCTGTGGCACGCTTCTGATCTCGCCGCCGGTTCTCGGCCTTGATGGCCTCCAGCACGGGATCCGCTGGCCCAGGCCAAGCAGTCACAGGCATCAACTTGAACTTTGGAAATGATTCTTGCCCGCTGCACTTGACCAAGGCAATAGGTTGCGACACCTCAGAAGTCATCTGTAGGCGGACGCGGCGAGGCGATGCCGCTGCGGACGACGCACTCGCCGCACTCGGTCTGGCAGCTAACCTTGCTGCAGCAGATTCGCGAAAGGACACTCGGGCTAGCGGTGGTGAATCTTGGAGAAAGAGTGACAGCACAGGGCCTGGGCCGAGGGAAAAGGGGCGCATGGACCCACTGAATGCCTGCAATGTGTCGCGTGTGCTGTGACTCTTACAAAAACTTTGTCCGTGCATATGTAACCGTGTATATATATATATCATATATTGCGGCCTTTATATCTTAATATCTCCGTATCTCCTTGAATGTAGACTATCTGTGATGAGATGCAAAAAGGAAAATTATGTACAAGGATGTCGACAGTGCTCCACAAAGCAACTTTTCCTGCTGTCAACATGCAAACTTGGGCAGGAACCATAGTGAGTTTCTAAGAGATCACGCAAAGATCCATGTTATTCAGGAGAACCTTTGATGATGATGCGTGAGTCCTCTCAAGCAGAGGAATATGATGAAAACAACGAGAACTGCCCATGTCCCCGAGTGGGTGTGTGGCAGGGGGACATGCACGGCTGGGAGAGACCCAGTGGAACGATCAAGTAATAATGTTTGAAGAGCTTTTACAAAGGTAACCCCTTGCAGCACCTGATCAAGACACCACAAGGTCCTTCGGGAAGCCATCGGCGGTGCGCTGTTTCTTCTTGTCCTGATCCATCCAGACACCCGCTCGTCGTTGCGCTGTCGTTTCTTCTCCTGATGCACCCATCCAGCAAGGGACCGCGCGGACGGCGGGAACTGATTACCCAGATTGTGTTATCTAGCATAGTGAAGCAGGTTGCCATCAGTGTGCTAGCATATCTTTCGCAAAAGGGAAAGCGACATGGACTTTTGGCTCAACTTTGGCGATTTGTAATCACTTGGGACTTGACCTTGCTAGTCCGACAAGACCCACATGTTGGCAAGTCACGGGTGGAGTCTCGCCACGCCAGCTGTTCCAATCCTGACCAAGCTGAACATAGCAGGATTCGAAGCAACAAAGCATAGCTCTGCTTTGTATACAGTAGAAGCACGAAGAAATCGATCTGGCGCGTAGCAAGCAGACCACTAGAGTGGTCGCTCTGCAGGTGCGCACACAACTTGAAAAGCCGAGCTGCAAAACCATCACCCCATGCCCAGCTGGAAGAAGCATCCTGCACAGGCACTGGGATTCCCCCAAGGTTGCCCACCAGCAATGTAGGAGCAGCAGTGGGTTTGGTGGACTCGGTAAGGTCGTCGCGAAATGTGGAAGTATCGAAGAGTAATGACTCATGATACGGTAATACTTGACACGTCAGTATCTGACCACCGACTGGCACATAGCAGAGACATGACTGCCAGAAGTGCTTATACTCGTCGTAAAGCTAACATGGCACCCCACCACTCGGGCTCATGTCCATCTAACATGTGCAATCTTAAAGCTAACATGGCGACTCGGTTCCTTTTTCTGTAACCCAAAACAATGACCTTGGTTTGTGGTCTGCTGGAATCAATTCATACCATAACAGGGCTCATAAATACAAACATGCAGGGGTCTAATTTGATAGCCTTTCGACGATTCTCGAACCTTCATGAACCTTCAGCGAGAACCCTGGGGGGAAGGATTCAGGCTTTTAGATACCTCGATCTTGAGGGTATGTAAAGGCGCTTTTGTGCTCAGCAACTGCTTTCCCATGCCTTCTTGGAGCTGCTCTCCTAGACGCTTCAACCTGTCAAGCAGATGCAGCATACAGGCATTCGACGGGTGAGTGATTGCAATCTTGGGGCAAGTCACACATGCACATTCACGTAGTGCGAGAGCATTGATCAACCTTCGCCAAGGCACTGGGACGCTTGAAGAGATGCAAACATGTTCGCCGGATCCACATCATCTCGGCGACGCTGCAGGGACATCCGTTGTCATCGTTGGTCGGATCCTGAGGCAACCTTGAGGTACTAGAGTCTTTGCGGCCGCCGTAAATGTGTTGTCCTTGGTCGACTTGCATTTCATGCGAAACGAAACGCATGACAACCTAATGCAATTGATTGAAGATTCTTGCACAGGTGCGCTCCACTGTGGCAACTGCGCGCAGCTCCTGGTATCGACTTTGTTGAATCAGTAATCTCTTTCGTCCGTTACCTCTTGCTGGCTAGACACCTTTCTGTTCCAATCCATTGCTGGCGCTTCCAATGTGAAGCTGAAAGACTCTTTGGACTCAACGGCGGCCGGTGCGGCCTCCATCAACTCGACGGCCATCCCTGCTTCTCCCTTGGGCCGGATCTTTTCTGTTTCCGCCAGGATCCGCTTGCGAAAGGCCTCATCCTGGCATGTCAAGTTTGAGTGGGTCAGCCACAACACTAGACCTGAAATGTAAGTCCTGGCACCAACCGAGAGGCTTGCAGTTGAGACGGCTACGGCTCCGAATGAAATTCTCGTCAACAAAATGAGCACCTTTGTCGCCCTAGAAGCAGCTCGCTTTGTGACCTTAACTTTGACTCATAATTACAGATCCAGAAAACTGTTCGCAGCCGATCATGGTTGAGAAAAATCTAAGTGAATATGGTCTTCCATGCTCAAATTTGGCAGGATCTTTCTTGGAT